TACTCCGGGAGCTGGTAGAGGAAGGTCTGATGGGACGGAGAGAGATAGAGGCCTGCCTGGACAGCCTCCGTGAGGCCCAGTGGCCAGAGGTAAGGTGCCCTCATCTTCCCTGACCTAGAAGAGAACAGGTATCAGATGTCCCTTTTATCCTGAAAGGGGGCAAGTGATGGTGCCTGGCATTCTTAGCATCTTTCCAAAGCTCAGTGGGGTTTGTCAAGTGTCTTCAGGACCACCCTACACGGAGGGGCTGTTCTGGTGGCCTTCACATCTGAGCAGCTACTGTATGAGGGAAGGGCCTGTCAGTGGAGGAAGGGAAGATGGAAGGCAGGTGTAGTTGGAAAGGAGCGTGGCATAGTGAGTGTGGATTTTTAAATCAGTAACCTGAATTTTAATCTCTAGTACTTAAATGTTGTGATTTAGGGCAAAGAATTCATCTCAGTTTAACCATAAAATGGAAATAATTCATACCTCCTAGCGTTTGTCAAGATGAAATAATGTGCATAGCGAGTACTCGGATGGTGATAAGGGCTCACTAGCTGCTCTGAGCCTCCCATCAGAGTTTCCTCTCCCAGAATACTTAATGGGGCGAGGTTTCAAGGCCATTTCAGTATGGAAGGCAGTTAGGAAATATGTTAGGGCTTCATATTTGTGACTTTTAGTAGAAATGAACTATCCAGAATTACATGCCTGCCTTTTCTGTCATCTTTTGCTGATTGCAGGACTTTGCTGAAGAATTAGCAACACTGTTCAACCTGCTTCTGGCCGAGCCCCAGGTGCCAGAACCCCAGCTACGAGCTTGTGAGCTGGTGCAGCCAAGCCGGGGGACTGTGCTGGCCCAGAGCTAGACCGAGAAGTGGCCCTGCCTCGAAGTTTCACCAGAACCTTGGCACCCACCGGACTGTGCCTCAGGGGGAGGCCCAGCGCCACCCCAAAGTGCCCAGTGCAGACTGACCCCTGCTGGTGCGGGAGTGGCCGAGTCTGAAATCAGGCTTCCTGCTTACATGTGAAGTAAGGATGTGGCTGCCCGGCTGCTCGTCACCCCGAGTCTTAGGAGGAGGAGGAGGGTTCGCCTGATTCAGGATTGCGGTGGAAAAGCCTAGAGACTCCAGCCCTGGAGCAGAAGAGTCGGCATTTATTACTTGGATGCTAACTGAAATTATGTGTGTGGGCTTGAGCCCCACTTGCTGCTATCCCAGCATCTCTAAGTCTGTGGTTTGAGAAATCATGACAGAGGCAAATGACATTGTTTAACTTGTGAGTAAAGTTAAAACATGAATCTTGGGAGTCTGGACTGCCCTCTCCTTAAAAATGCACAATGGATGGGTGGAGCACTCCCACCAAAAACCCAGCCCTATCCCCTGCGCCCCTGCCTCCAGTCCTGGGCCAAGGGTGGGGCAGAACTAGAGCTTTTTTAAATAAACTCTTCTTTACAGAGGGCTTCCTGTCTTGCTCTTTTCACCTGACTCTTCCCTGTGGAAGGCCCGGGGTGGGCTTGGAGCCGGGCACTGGTGTCACCTGGCACTGCCCAGTGTGCAGTGTGAGGAGGGCCCTGTTGACTCATTGCCAAGGGTGTTGGCTTTTATGCCATTCCCTCCCTTGAAAGCTGTAGGATAAGCTTCTTCTCACCAATACTCCCCTCTAAACTAGTGGTGGGGCGGCGCTTGTCATGCTTGTTCTGTTAGGGCTGGGAGCCGGGGTGAGGGAGCAGTGACTTGGCTCACAACAGAAGCATTCTCCATGTCTCTAAATGATCCGTTGACTTTTGACCAATCATGCACGCCTTGATAATGGGAATTAAGAGCTATAAAAGCTGTGGGTTTTCTACTTGGGTTGTGTAGAGGTTCAGGTTGTTGGGGAAGGAAAAGATACTCGGGGAACCCTGTCTGAAATACTGTCCATGTCCGTGTATTCTTGGGGAAAGTCTCGAGATCTCCGGCCCAGGGTGAGTCTCTGGGCCTGAGGGTCTGCTGTGTGACTAGAGCTGATGAGCCTTTACTCAGATTAAGTCCCCAGGGGGTTGGCGGGTGTCTGTCTGTCTCCTTACGACCCCTGCAGTCGCGCTTCTGCCCAGTCAGGTGTGCCTGCGCGTTCCCTTCCCCTCAGGTGATTGCAGTCACTCCAAGTTTCTACATCTGAGCCATTTACCTTAATCTCATCCTCATAGGCCTTTTTCTAATTTTTTTATCTTTGTCCTTTAAATCTCATTTATATAGAGAAGTTCAGGATGTTCTCAATACCAGAGACCAACTCTCTGCACCCATCGGGGCGGCTGAGCAAAAGCACTGCCTCCGGAAGTTGAGCCCTAAGGTTACGCAGCAGCTACTTCAGACCCAGCTCTGAGGGGTGGCACGCCGCCCGGGGAAAGCCTGAGGCCCAAGCGCGATGCTCAGTTAAACTTAGCACAGCCCAGTTCAGGAAACTGAGTGCTGGCCTGTGTGACTCTTAAAGGCCTACTCTACACAGTAAGATAAGAATCACAGAGGCAAAGAATAAGGAAACCTAAAACCAATATTCTGTTTGCGTTGTAGTGAAAAGCAGCAATGAAACGTTTAAAAAAAAAAAAAAAATGAATCACACAGGCAGCTAATGAGCTAGTGCACTTGTTTTTTTCTATGTACAGGGTGTCCTCAGAAAAAGTACACACTTTAACAGCTATAATGGCTCAATTTTGAAGATGAAATGTATTTTAACAAACATTAAAATTTTATAATTCAAAGTATGTACTTTTTTTTTTTTGGAACACCCTGTATCTGTTCTCAATTATTAAAAACAATGAATTTCAAAGGGTAGTCTCCAGACAACTGAATCAGAATCTCAGGTGGGGCCCAGCAAGTCCTTTTGGTGATTCTGATGCACGATGAAGTCTGTAAATCATCTGTCTAAACCAAATTCTGACTTTCTCATAATCGTGTAGGCCTGTGGATGATCTTTAACACTTGGGTTTGCCATATCATATGAGCCTCAGTTAATATTCTTTTAGGTTGCTGACTCTCAGGCCTGGTAAGTGATTTCTCTAGTGAGGGGATAAGGTCACCTCTGGCCTACCCATATGCTCAGAACCCCATTGCTGGCTGGCTCAGAAGCCCCAGAGGTGCCCACCTGTTACTAGTAAAGAAATACCTTCCAGAGGATTACAGTCACTGTCAGGTGTGGTAATGACTGTTCTGGAATCCTCCCTTATTGGTACTTGGGCTCCAGCTGGCCATAATTGGGCTACTAACCTGGCTGCTATTTACATGCCTTAAAGCAGTGCCGAGTTCGTAGAAAGCAATTATAGCTGTACTAGAGGCCTGGTGCATGAAATTCATGCACTGGGGGAGGGGGGGTCAAGCAGGAGGAGCCCCTCAGCCCAGCCTGCACTCTCAGTCCGGGACCCCTCGCTCCTTACTGCCTGCCTGCAGCAGAGGCAAGAGAGGCTCCCTATGGGAGCGCACTGACCACCAGGGGGCAGCTCCTGCATTGAGCGCCTGCCCCCTAGTGGTCAGTGCACATCATAGTGACCGGTCATTCCGCTGTTAGGTCAATTTGCATATTATGCTTTCATTTTATAGGAGTATAACTTGAAACTGGGCCATGAGTACTTATTGCCATCATCTCAAAGAACACAGGCTATCTCAGGACAATCTTCACTATAAAAGTACATATCAGACTTTTAATTTGCAAGTGTTCTGACCATTCAGTCAACAGATTGGTAAGAGATTTATATGAAAAGAGATGGGAGTACATAAATAGGGTGTTAAATATATCGAGTGTCATCAAAACAAAACCCAGGAAAATAAAAGTTTAAAGAAAAAAAAAAAAAACACATTCAATAATATATAAGTAATTTGAGGTAAAAGACAAAAATCCTGCAAACACTTTTAGAAAAATAAACCCATTTTACCACATCTTGATCCCTAGATGGTCACCTGCTGGGCACCAGAACTAAAGCTGGGAATCTTTCCCACTCCTACCACTTCCAGGTAACCACACAGAATAATTAAAACCTCACAGTCTGCCAGGCTGAGGCAAGAGAAAGCCCATTCTCATTCATCCTAGAATAGGTGTGGCTGCAGCAACAGCATGAAATGCTAATAAGACCACTGCCTACAGACGCAGGCTCTGAGGCCTTAAATGGAACTGAGCTTCCTTCTAACAAGTCACTCACCTTCTCTAGGAGTTCCATTACGTTCTCTTCCATCTTCAAAAGACAGTTTTCATCTCTGAAATTTCTTTTGCATTGTCAGCAGCTAGCATCTGGCTGCTCACTTCCTACCTCTCTTAAAGAGATAGGCCCCCCACCTTGACCCCAAATCTGTCCAGGTGGTTTCTACAGTGAATGGTCTCATTCTCTGAGCTCTGGAGTGACGGCTCCTTGAGATCGCATTGCTCAGCACTTTTGACTGAGGCAAAGACCCCAATGTCCCCTCCTGTGAGGAAAAGGGGGAAGGGGAGAGAGTAAAAATAAAGCATTTGATAAAAATTCAAGGAGAAATGATTCTGAATCACTGTTCTGGTTTGTGCAGCTGTTTTTTTACGTTTTCTGTTTTGGTAACAGTCCGTCTCACAGTGGAACTGAATGCTGGAGGCCGATTTCCGAGCAGAGTCTTAGCCGGTAGCTGCCTCCCTACCAGCCCGAGGGCCGGGCCACACCAGGAAAGCACCATCAAGAGCACACCGTCTCCCAGCTCTGCTGACCATGTCCAGTCCTGGTCCCTGAGCGGCTTGTCTGCCACAGCGTCTCAGACAGGAAAGAAAGGTGAAAACTCCGACTTGAGCTTCGCTTGTTCTGGACAGCCAGGGTCAGGAGCTCAGGCCTCTCACTCTGCAGAGCTGCCAGCTGCGACCAGTGCTGACCGGGCTTCCCTGGCAGCTCCGGGCTGAGTGCTGTCTTCCCAGGCGGCCGCGACAGGTGGCCTCGGCTCTCCTTGCCTCGGGTGCAGAGAGGAACAAGCGCTGCCCCAGTGACTCCGGGGCGTCCTGGGCCTGAGTCTCAGCAGCACCATCTTGACAGTGAGATGCTAGCTACCAAGGAAGGAAGCCAGTCTGGCTATAACCAGTGGCTGCTGTTTGATGCAGGAGCTTAAGAGATGAGGGGGGAAACCTGGAGCGCCAAGTTCTATCTGAAACAAAACAGGGAAGAGTCAAAGGAACAGACAGATCTGAGAGTGTGCCCCCTCCAGCTGTGGCGATGGGTGAGACTCCTCAGAGAGTCTGCGGTCCTAGAACTTATGGGCCCTGGGCTCTGCTGCTCAGATCTAGGCGTTGGCTTCACCTCCCAGTGACAAAGGTCAGGCCAGGGAACTGGGAGTAGAGCCAAATGGAATGAATGGGTCCTTCTCTCTGCTCTGCTGAGGCAGCTGCCTTGGCCCCGGGGGACCCTGGGAACAGCCGGAGGAGAAAGGCTGCTAGGCTCTCTGGCAATAGCAGCATCAGAGAGGGTTGATCCACTCTGTCCTCTCATTCCCCAGGGACTCCCTCCCCTTACTGTGACCCAAGAAGCCCCTGAGTGTCAGGCCACAGGGCCAAGGCGCTGAGGACACGGAGCAGCTAAGCCGGCTAAACAACATCCCCAAGGGGCTGTGAAGGCAGATCCAGGCGAGCTGCAGGGGGCGCATCACCTGGGCCAAGTAGATGACTCTGGTGACCTCCTTGCCTTCCACGGTGAGGGGCTGCAGGACCCAGGCACTGGGCAGGATCTCCCCTCGGACCATCTCTTTGCTGGGTCTCGGCATGGATGTGTCATACACAGACTGAGCCGCCATGACGAAGAGATGCCCCTGGGACAGAGCGCGGTGTGAGTCCTGCCTGGCGATCCCCAAACAGGCTCCAGACTTCTATCTCCCTACTCCTCCCCACAGGACCTGAGGCCCCCAAAGACTGCTTCTCACAACGCTCCAGCCCACGTTCTTCCCACAATATCTTCACCACCAGCCAGGCGGCAGGCACCTCTTTGGCTTCCACGCAGACACAGCAGAAGTCCCGCGGCTGTTTCAGTGCACACAGGGCCGGGTCGCACACCAAGTACACTGGCAGGCCGGGTGGGAAGAGTCAGCAGGTGCAGGTGCACAGACAGACCTAGTCCTAAATCCTTCCCAAGCCAGGGCCCCCCAAGACCCCCATCATCACACAACCCGGCACCCAGTGGAGGCAGTCTGAACTCCCGGACCCCGAGGGGCCACCGGCCTGCTGCCTGTCCCGGCAGAGCTTACCGAGGTGGATGTTTTTGGTCACTCGCTGATGCAGCCGCGCTGTCTGGATGGGCTTGTGGTACAGGGGCCACAGGGTGGGGTCGCTCACCGCTGCCCACACGTGAGACAGCGGCTGGGACACCACCCCGGCCCCCAAGAAGCCGTGCCGGGTGGAGGTGAACACCTTGTTGTAGAGCTGCACCTGCTGCTCCTCGCCCTGGAAGCTGGGGCACGAGGGCAGGGAGGAGAGTGAAACGGGCGCCAGGGTCACAGGGCAGCTCAGGGTGGAGAAGGGAAAGGAGGGAGGCGAGCAGCACAGTGGGATGAGGACAAGACAAAGGAACTCACGTCCAGCCGGCTGCTACCTGGCCATTGAAGAGATTGTGCAGATCAGCTGAGCAAGCAGCCATCACCTAGGGACGCAGTGACCACACCCAATTAGTGGGACTGGTATAAACCAGACCCCGGGGTTGGTCACCAGTCCCCTTTTGTCACATCAGCCCTGCTCTGCTCTTTCCCTCCCTGCTCTTCCCCAGCCATGCTGCCCAAGGAGCAGTTCCTCACGTCGGCCAGACAGATGTCCACAATGTGCTTGGCCAAGTCCTGGTAGGAGGAGGAGAGGCCGCTCCCCAGGCTGGACACACTGGACGAGGAATAGCAGCAGCTGCCCAGGGAGGCTCTGCGGCCTGCAGGGAAGAGGGGGGCTCTGACGTCAGCAGCTTCTGAGAGGCAGGCACTCCCTGGATCTGGCAACCGCAGCCCCCAAAGTGCCCAAACCAGGCAGGCGACTGCCCCACCACTCACTGCGGACCCAGTTCTTCCAGGCAGATCCAGCCAGACTCGGGTGACTGTTCCTCCCGGCAGAACGGCCCTGCACATCCCCAATCCAGGAGTCTCCAGAATCAGGCAAGCTGGTCTCCCCCTGCAGAAGAGAAGCTGCTCAAGACCAGAACAGGGGAAGCGAGAAAGCAGATGCCAAAGCCACTGCCTCTGAAACACACCAACACTTCCAACATAAAGACAGGGAAGCCCTGGCTGGTTTGGCTCAGTGGATGGAGCATCGGCCTGAGAACTGAAAGGTCCCAGGTTCGCTTCCAGTCAAGGGCACATGTCTGGGTTGTGGGCTCGATCCCCAGTAGGGGACTTGTAGGAGGCAGCTGATTCATGATTCTCTCTTATCATGGATATTTCTTTCTATTTCTTTCTCTTCCTTCCTCTCTGAAATAAATAAAAAATATATATTTTAAAAATAAATAATAAAAATAAATAATAAATGCTTGGTGTTTATTTAAAAAAAAAAAAAAAACTGAGGGAAAAGATCTTCCCCTTTGGAGAGTACAGGAGGCCAGATGACTCAAGAGGTCAACAGCAACAGAAACCAGTCCCTCGCTCTTCAAGCCACAGGCTCACGTGGATGGAAGAGGTTCCACAGGGATCGCCAGGAGCGGGGCCTGAGGGCCAGGTGCCAGTGGGGGGCCCTCTGCACCCTGTGCAACAGGAACAAGGCCATGGCTGGAGCCGGTGTAGTGTGGGCAGCAAACAAAACCCGAGTGGGAGGTGGGATGGGAGGAAAGTCAACAGGCTGAGAGAAGCTTGATGTTGGCCCCAGACCCAGGTACAGCAATTAAGCCACAGAAAGATCCTGCTTTGGAACCAGAAAGGGATAATCCTCTGGGTTTGTGATACAGTCCCCTCACCTTTAACCTCAGCCAGTTCCTCGAAGACATGACCCTTGACCTCTGCTGGGTCTACCGTACTCCCTGCCATCAGTTTCTAATGGAGCGCTACTTTACAGACAAGACGAGGTGAAGGGAGAGTTATCTCCTCGCCTCCTTTCCTCCTGCAAATACAAGTGGCCACTCCGACTTCAGGCAGACTGAGATCCTGGTCCGCTTCCGAGGAGCTTTTCACTGCTGAGGCCTTTCTTCACTCACTGCCTCCGCCCTCCCTCTTTACCATTAGCACTTAAGCATGCAAATAGTCTCCCACCTTTAAACCTTTCTCCGCAGGCCTCTCTGCTCTCTCGCCCTTCAAAGATAACACTTCTTGAAAGGATTGTCATCTTTTGCCATCTCCCACCTCCACTCCCTTCTGAACCCACCTGAATCTAGCCTTTGCCTCACTGTCCCCCCAGACAGCCGTGCCGAGGTCCCCATGAGGTCCGTGTGGCTGGATCAGGTGAACAACTCTGTCCTCAACTCACCGCGCCGCTCAGCACACTCCCCTCACTCCGCCAGCCTCTCCCTTTCAGTGAGAAACTCTCTTCTCAAGTCCCCACGCTTCTGGCTTCCCATCTCCCTGGTGCTTCTTCCTTCCCAGTTTCCCTTCTTGGCTCTTCCCTCTCAAACAAAAGCGGTTATTGGGGGATTTTTTCAAGATTCAAGCCCAGGCCTTCTTCCTCACTCTATAATATACTCCAAGGGGATTGATCCTACCTGTTCCCAGTGCTACATTAATGACTTCCAAAAATATATTTATGTAAATCAATAAATATTGCTGGAAAAAAAAGGTTGTATCAGAGACCCATCTCACACATCCTACCTAATAAAAGAGTAATATGCAAATTAATCATCACTCTGCTCAAGCCACACCCACCAGCCAATTGGAGTGATTATGCAAATTAACCCAACCAAGATGGCTGCAGCCACAGAGAGCATTTGAGAGGCTTGGGTTTCCCCGGCAATAGAGGAAGCCAAGCTTTCCACACACCCTGGCCGGCCTAGGCCTCCACTCCAGGCTACAAAGTTTCAATTGTAGAAGGTAAATATATCCCAGATTCCAGGGCCTCTGCCTGGGTCGCCAGGGAGCATAGCCAGCCTGCAAACCACCACAGGCCCTTCACCCAGGCCACCCCACACCCCAAGGGAAACCCCCCTGATCTGGGACACCCTTCAGGGCAAACCATTTGGCTCCCACCCATGCACCAGGCCTCCATCCTATCTAATAAAAGAGTAATATGCAGATTGACCATCACTCCAACACACAAGATGGCTGCCCCCATGTGGTCAAAGATCCTGCCCTCATGTGGACACAAGATGGCCAGCAGGGGAGGAGAGTAGGGAGGCACTAGGCCTGCCTGCAAGGGAGGGCAGTTGAGAGGGACTGGCCTGCAAGGGGAGGGCAGTTAGGGGTAACCAGGCTGGCAGAGGAGGGAAGTTGGGGTGACTGGGCCTGTTTCTTTCTCTCTCCCCCTTCCTCTCTGAAATCAAGAAAATATATTTTTGAAAGATAAAACAAGAATAAATCTGGCCAAAACAAGTTTGGCTCAGTGGATAGAGCATTGGCCTGCGGACTGAAAGGTCCCAGGTTCAATTCCAGTCAAGGGCATGTATCTTGGTTGATGGCATATCCTCAATAGGGGGTGAGCAAGAGGCAGCTGGTCGATGTTTCTCTCTCATCGACGTTTCTAACTCTCTCTCTCCCTTCCTCTCTGTAAAAAAAAATCAATAAAATATATATTTTTAAAAAGAATAAATCTGACAAGAAATTTGAGAGACATGAAGGAAACATTAAAAAAAAAAAAAAGGTTTGAACCTACTATGTTCCTGGTAGGAGATTACCCAATATAAAATGTGATTTCTCCCTCAGTTGATTCATAAATTGAACATGATCTCATTAAAAATAATAAGTTTTTATCATTGCACTAGACAAGCTGACCCTAAATTTCATTTAAAAAAAAACACACACACACAAAAGAATACTCTAGAAAATTTCAAAAAAGAAAGGCAATGGGGAGTAGAATCATTATAAGCCTTAGAACAAGAAAAGTTGACATCTTAATCCGGTGAGGCTAAGATGAGCTGTCGAACAAGCGCAGGACAAATGAATAGCCATCTGAAAAGAACAAAGTTGGATCCACATCTCATGCTATAGGGTGTCCCCCAAAAATGCATACATACTAGGCTTTTTATTTTATTTTATAGGATACATAAAAGATACAAGTTTACTGTACAAAATCAGAAATAGTCAACTAATTGAGGGCACACAAATACCAAATGAAGTGATTTTTGATGTTTGGGATTATATTGCTTTGCACATTTATCAGCATTGCCTGGACCAGAATGGCCATCAGTTTGAAACAGGCATTGAGCTCTAGCTTGTTTGGCTCAGTGGATAGAGTGTTAGCCTGCAAACTGAAAGGTCCCAGGTTTGATTCTAGTCAAGGGCACATGCAATGGTTACAGACTCCATCCCCAGTAGGGGGCATGCAGGAGGCAGCCGATCAATAAATCTCTCTCATCATTGATGTTTTTCTCTTCCTCTCCCTTCCTCTCTGAAATCAATAAAAAATATCTATACTAATAAAAGGGTACTATGCTAATTAGACCAGGAGACCTTCCGGATGTCCTTCCGGACAAAGCCATGGTAGTGGGGTTGAGGCAGAGGTGGGTAGGGGCAATCAGGCTGGCAGAGATGGGGGGGGGGAAGTTGGGGGTGAGCAGGCTGGCAGGGGGTGGCAGTTGGGGACAATCAGGCTGGAAGGGAGGACAGTTTGGGGCGAGGTCAGCGGGGGAGGGGGGCAGTTGAGGGCAAACAAGCCAGCAGGCAGGTGAGTGGTTAGGAGCCAACAGTCCCAGATTGTGAGAGGGATGTTCAACATCCCCCAAGGGGTCCCAGATTGGAGAGGGTACAGGATGGGCTGAGGGACATCCCCTCCTCCTCCCGTGCACAAATTTCATGCACTGGGCCTCTAGTATATATATAAAAGAAAACAGGCATTGGCAAAAAAAAATATTCATTTTTGTAGATTCTTTTAAATTTAGAAAATGAATTGCATGTTAAAAAACACTTTACAGTCTTCATAGTGTATACACATTTTTGGGGTACCCTGTATATATACTTTCCAAATGAATCGATGACTTAAATATGAAAAATAAAACCATACAAGTTCTAAAGTAACCACAGGAGAAATTCTTTATAACTTTGGAATGGAGATTGTGATATTTTATTTATTTTTATTTTTTTTATTGATTGATTATGGTATCACATAATTATCCTCATCCCCCATTCCCATCCCAACCCCTCCCTTTTTTTGTTAGTCCTCACCCAAGGATATTTTTCCGTTGGTTTTTTAAAAAAATATATATATTTTTTTACTGATTTCAGAGAGGTAAGGAGAGGGGGAGAGAGAAAGATAGAAACATCAACGATGAGAGATAATCATTGATTGGCTGCCTCCTGCATGCCCATCACCAGGAATCAAGTCTGAAACCCAGGCATATAACCTTGACCAGAATTGAACCTGGGGCCTTTCAGTCCGCAGGCCGATGCTCTACCACTGAGCCAAACTATCTAGGGCTTTCCAATGATTTTTAGAAAGAGTGGCAGGAATGGGGAGAAACAGAGAGAGGAAAACATCTATGTGAGAGAGACATATCCATTGGTTGTTTCCTACACACACACACACACACACACACACACACACACACACACACGGGCCTGGGGAGCCACCCTGCAACAGAGGTCTGTGCCCTTGACTGGAATCATGGGCCAAAGCTCTATCCCCTGAGCCAAACCAGCTAAGGTAATTATGATTTAGAACACAGACACTATAAAAGGAAAACTGATAAATACAACTTCCTGAATGGCTCCAAACACAGTAAGTAAATCAAGAGATAAGGCAGAACTGGAAAAAAAATTTGCAATTCACATCAGGCAAAGGGCTATCTTGCCACTATATAAAGAACTCCCAGTGACTAGTAAGAAAGAAGGAAAAAAATGAGCAAAGGGTATGAACAGATGGCTCACCAGTCCAAACATTTAATAACATGTTAGCAAGAGAATGGGGAGAAGGTGGACTCTCGCCTGTTGCTGGTGGGAGTAAAAATCAGTATATTTATGAGGGAAAATCTGTCACTATTATCAAATTTTCAAATGAATATACTTGTAGAACAAGTCCACATTTATCCTGTAGATATATTTGCACATGTAAGAAAGCTGTACATGCACAAAGCTATTCACTGCAGCCCTGTTTACAACAGTAAAAAAATTAAAAACAATCCAAGGTGGAGGTTTAGTTAAATAAATTACAATGCATCTCTACAATGGAATGCTCTGCAGTAATCACACAAAAAAAAGAGAAAGTTCTCTACACTGTCCTGTGACGATATACTGACTGGAAAAAATATATGAAGTAAAGGACAGTGGCATAATATGCTTATTTTATATGCAAAAGACACTCTATCTAGGAAGATATAAAAAAAAAAAACACACACACACACACACACCACTGTTTTTCTTGGGTGGGATGAGGAACATGGACTAGGCAGACAGGGAAAGGGATGGGTATTTCCCTATAGATCCTTAATTATTTATATATTTTTTGCTTTTTCAATTCATTATCTATATAAAACATCACATTTAATAACATACAATTAAAGAGAAAAGAGAAACACTATTTGACTATTAAAAAGAATGAGTCAGCACTAGATTTACTAATATTCAAGATCCAACCAATATTTTTAAAGGAAAAAAAACAAAGGGACAAAGTGAGTACCGTATGCTTCCATTCACGTGCTTTACAAAAAGATATATTCTTATAGACACACAGGCTATCTCTGGAAATATACACCAAACGGGACGAATGACTGCTTCTGGGGAGGGCAAATAGGAGACTGAAATATGCACTAGACACTGTGTCCTTGGCTACTGTTTGAAAACCATGTATTCTTTACCATGTGGAGTTTTTCTTTATCAAATTCAAATTTTCTATCCCCAGCCAGGTCTCCTCTCTGGGCCCCGGATCAGTATTCCAACAAGCCCCTGAATTTCTCAGAGGTGCTTCAACCCAGCAAATACAAAACTAGATTCATGATCTTCCCACAAAACCTGTCAGCCTCCAGGGCTTCCTGTCACTGTCCTCAAACCCAAAGCATGCATGGTTCTCAGCCCCCCTTCTCCCTTCCTCCACATCCAGTTTGAATCCACACCCGTTCCCCTTCACCAGGAGTGCCCGAAGCCAAGCAATCACGAAGCTTTGCCGTGGTCACTAATGGGTCTACAGAGCTGTTCTTACCGCTTCTCACAGTCTCATCCTTCTCTCCCTACTGAACGGCTTTCCAGCAGCTTTGGGGAACTAGAAAGGCCCAGGATTCTCAATGTAGTCCATCCGATCTTGCGTTTTCTGGTCCTTTTTTTCATGTAATTCTCCCTCTTTACATTCCAACCAAACAAGCGTTTTAGCTCCTCAAACTCCTCCTCCCTCAGCGCCTCCCTGTGGGCCCCTGGACACAGCCAGCGCGGAGCTCTCCCTGCAGAACCTCCCTCACCGTCGGCTCAGAGCATCTCCACGAGCATCCAGACTAGGCCAGGCTCCACCTTTCACTGGCTTAGCATCCCTTCCTCTGTGCCTGTGGTCGGCAAGCTACGGCTCATGAGCCACATGCGGCTCTTTGGCCCCTTGAGTGTGGCTCTTCCACAAAATACCACGGCCTGGGCGAGTCTATTTTGAAGAAGTGGTGTTAGAAGAAGTGTAAGTTTAAAAAATTTGGCTCTCAAAAGAAATTTCAATCGTCATACTGTTGATATTTGGCTCTGTTGACTAATGAGTTTGCTGACCACTGATCTATGCCTGGGCAACCAGCCGGCAGCTATAAAGCACACTGACCACCAGGGGGCAGGCGCTCAATGGAGCTGCCAAGCCACAGCAACTTTTCAGAGTGCCCTCTTGCACTCCTGGGGGGTGTTGGACTGCTGGTTTCAGACCGAGGGACCCCACTGGTGCATGAATCTGTGCATTGGGCCTCTAGTTATAAAATAAGCTCTTTAATATTTATCCTTTTAATAATCTAAGGACAAGAATAGTTTTGCTCACTGCTGCACCCTCAATGCTTAAAACATCTACAAAACAAGCAGCTGTTGAATGAACAGGGAGAGAAAGACAGAACTGGAGGAAAGGCCAAAGCCACCGTCCATCAAGTGTCAGCAGTGACCGGAGGCAGAACTCCCTGCCCAAACGCGTACTTTAGCGGCCTGGTCCCGAGCTCATACCTAGCACCTGCCTACTCACCACACTGCCTGGGGACGGGAGCTGGCCTGCCAAGGCCGGGCTGCTGTTGTAGCCAGAGGTGACCCCAGAGGACAGGCTTCCATTGGAGCTGGTGCACAGGGAGCTGGAGGCGGCCAGGGTGCGTAGTTTTTCCTCTTCCTGGGAAGGACAGATCACTGTCAACCAGCTTCTGGTGCACCCTCACTACCCAGGCCCCACAGTCCCAAATCCACCTCTCACCTCCCAGTCCCATCGCCCCAGTGCCTCCCACCTCAGCCTCACACCCTCACACCTCCCCACCCCCACCCCAACTCGATACCAAGGCAGCCTCCTCCCAGACTCTGGCCCAGCGACAGGAGCTGGTCTGATGAGAATGGCACGTAAAGAGAGTGAACTCAGCTTTGGACCTGGCACCAGGGGTCAGATGTTACATCCCCTGCCCGAGGCAGCCCAGTGAAGACCGACCGGTCTGAGGTCTGCCTCCAGGCTCCAGGCCCCCCCTGAAACCTGTTTCCCACCCTCAGCAGCTGGGAGATGATCTGCTGGCGGATTCTCAGCTTCTCTTGTTCAGCTTGCTCCCGCAGTCGGGCCTGGGCCCGGGCGATCTCCATCTTGGCCTCCTCACGAGCCCGCTGGTATTCTCTGAGCATCAGCTCTATGTCAGAGGGGGGCTGAGCAGACCTCGGCGCGGACCCCGGGTTCCTGGGAAGGACCAGAGGGGCAGAGAGCCGGGCGATGGCCATGGCCTGCTCACCCCAGGCCTCTTCAACACCTTTTTTTAAACTTTAATTTTTCAATTATACTTGACATACGTACTAGTTTCAGGTATACAACCTAGCGATAAGACATTTATGTACCTTACAAAGGTTCCCCTCTAAGTCTAGTACCCATCTGCCACCATATATAGTTATTACAATATTATTGACTATATTCTCTTTGCTGTACTTCACATCCCATGACTATTTTGTACTTTCTAAAAAATATGTGTTTTTATTTATTTCAAAGAGGAAGGGAGAGAGCGATAGAAACATCAATATTGAGAAAAAATCATCAACGGGTTGCCTCCTTCACACCCCCTCCTAGGGATTGAATCCACAACCCAGGTGTGTGCCCTGACTGGCAATCAACTGTGACTCCCTGGTTCAGGGATCAATGCTCAATCACTGAGCCACACTGGCCAGGCTATTTTATACTTCTTTTTAAAAATATATATATATATATTTATTGCCGAAACCGGTTTGGCTCAGTGGATAGAGCATCGGCCTGTGGACTGAAGGGTCCCGGGTTCGATTCCGGTCAAAGGCATGTACCTTGGTTGCGGGCACATCCCCAGTAGGGGGTGTGCAAGAGGCAGCTGATCGATGTCTCTCTCTTATCGATGTTTTAACTATCCCTCTCTCTTCCTCTCTGTAAAAAATCAATAAAATATATTTTTTATTATTGTTTCAGAGAAGGGAGAGAGAAACAGAAACATCAATAATGAGAGAGAACCATTGATCAGCTGCCTCCTGCATCCCCCCACAGGGAATCAAGCACACAACCTGGGCATGTGCCCTTGAATAGAATCAAATCCAGGACCCCTAGTCCACAGGCCGATGCCCTATCCACTGAGCCATACCAGCTAACAGCTTTTTTGTACTTCTTAATCCCATTACCTTTTTCACTCATTTCCCAATCCCCTTCTCCTTTGGACACTGTTAAAATGTTCTCTATATCTATGAGTTTGTTTCTATTCTGTTTGTTCATTTGCTTTTTAGATTCCACATATAAGTGAAATCATATGGCATTTGTCTGACTTATTTCACTCAGCACAGTACTCTCTAGGTCCATCCATGTTGTCGCAGGTGGCAAGCTTTCATTCTTGTTTACGGCTAAGTCATATTCTACTGCATGTATGCACCATTTTTCTTTATCCATTTATCTACTGATGGACACTTAAGTTATTGTATTATAGATAATGCTACAAATGAACAGAGGGTACATTTTGTTTTTTTGATTTACTGTTTTGAGTTTATTCTAATAAATGCCCAGTAGAACAGCTGGGTCCCTCTTTGACTTTTGTTACAGCCTTTGTTTTAAAGTCTATTTTGTTGGTATAAGTGTTGCTACTTATTTCATTAAATACCTTTCCCATCCCTTTACTTTCTGTGCAACCCCACTCTGGAGTGACCCAGCTCTCTTTGCCCACAGGGTCTTCAGTTTGATTTTGTATCTTATTCGGAGGCTCAGACCTGCAGTCTCCTTCTGCCACAGCTACTCTGTTCATCCTCTCCCAGGACTTCCCTTTGCCCACCCCTCCTCCGCCCCTTTGTTCCCTTTGTCCCTGCCCCCGCAGCCACCTCCGCGTGCCTCAGGTTCAGCAGACCCACTGCCAGAATTGTGGCTGTGAGAGGAAGCTGCAGCCTCCAGCCTCCAGGACACTAAGACTCACACCCCACACAGAACCCACTCCCTGCAGGGTTCTGGGTCCACCCGGTTCTGGGTCCGCCTGTACCTGGTTGTCTCCACAACATCCCTCCTCAGCTGCTGCAGGTATTCTCGGCGCCTGCTGGGTAAGTCAAGGTCACGGGTGGAGAGGTCCCCGTCAGGCAGGAAGCTCAGTTGTTTCTGGGGGCTGAGGCTTCGTGTCCGGCGGAAGTTCTGAAGTCGCTCAGCCCGCTGTCTCCGGAGGGACTCGATGGTTTGTTTTTGCCTGAGATAAAACGTGATTGATTCACTGAAACCGGCCATGAATGCCCTTCTCCGTTTTATAATCTCTCTGACCCCTGGGAGATCCCAGAACTGAGCAAGAGGAGAGAGAACAGGCCCCTCTCCGCCCTCCCGCTCGAGGCCGGGACCCTTACCGGGCGTGCAGCTCCTCCCAGGTGGACGGCACGGGCTCCGGGGCGGTGAGCGCCGCCCCCGTCCCGCTCTGCAGCACCTCGAGCAGCGCATCCGACTTCCCGAAGCCGTGGTGCAGTTTTGCTTCTGTGAGTTCCGTGCTGAGTGTGGGGTTCTGGGCCCCGAACAGGGGGACCTGCTCCTTCTGGGACCGCGCAGGGTCCCGGCTCTGGGCGCCCAGAGGCTGTGAGGGAGGCTGTCCCTGCTCTCCAGCGCTGCCAACATGTCTGGGTCCCAGCTCCCCACGAGAGCCATCCTGAACCCCACACCAATGACTGAATTTGTTATGCACTGGGAGGTCCCTGAGACTGTGATGCTGGGGCTCAGGAGACGTGCACATCTGGGACCTGGGGCGCAGCAGCCCCTGAGGTTGGCAGGCCTCAGCGGGGCCAGAGGGAGAGCCCTGGAGCCTCGTTTCGTCAGTCATCTCAGACACAGGGCAGGGGCCGAGGTGCTGCACGCCTCCCACCGAAGAGGGATCGTTGACGGCGGGTTGTGGCTCCACTGCAGAGGCTGAGCTCTCACCCCCCCTTTCGGTCCTGCTCTGCCGTGTATTTGGCCCTCTGCTGCAAAGGGGGCCGCACTCCAGGGGAGCCGTGTCCTCGGGGACCAAGCCCTCGGCCGGTCTCGGACTGCTGGTCCTCAGCGGCAGAGGGGGCAGTCTGCTCTGGACCCCGGAAGGGGCCGGGGGCAGAAGCTGCTGCGGGGGCTGCTCCAGGAAACGAACGTGGGGTTTTGAGCTGTGCGGCGGGCTGACGGGGGAGCTTCCCTGGAGCGTGGGCCTGCCCTCGTTCCTTTCTGAAGAGCTTCTGCCTTCACACAGACCCCGTCCTCTCTGGGAGCTGCCTGCCTCGTCAATGGCTTGAGAATAACCGTCCATTGGAGGTTTGGGGGAGCTGAGGGGAAGGTCTGGAGTGGAGACAAGCTCCTGGTGGCCTTCAAGAGGGAGAGCTAAGTGGGTGGAGAGAGGCAGGGAGCCTAAGGGGAGCTCTGACCCTTGAGTGCTGGCACTGAGTGCGAGGATCGGGGAAGAGGCCCTGTCCACCAACAAGGCACTTGCGGGGCTCAACTCCTTGGGGACCCTAGGCTCCCCGACATGCTCCGCAGCACTGGGGCAGGGCCCTGGGGAATGAGGGAGGCTAAGGCTGGGGCTGCTGACAGCCAGGCAGGAGGGCTCACTGGGCTGGGCGTCGGGCAGCAGGGCGGCAGCAGGAGAAGCCTGGGGGCTCACAGAGGGGAGGTTCTGCCCGAGTGGGGCCTCCTGAAACCTCAGCTGGGAAGAGGGCACTGCAGGGCTCTGGGGCCTGCAATAGGTGCTTTCTTCCTGAAGACCCAGGGGCCGTGCTGTGTTCCATGCTGGTCCCTCCGCCTCTCTCTCCTGAACTGTCCCTGGGCCGTGTCCCTTTTCCTGAGACGTGGTGGAGGTATCCGAGCCCAGCGCTTCAAGGACCACACTGACCTCCTGAGGGCTGGCCTCTGCGGCCTGGGGGTGCAGAGGTGGGGAGGCCAGGTCAGTCTGGATGCTCTTGTTCTCGGTGGTCTGAGTACAGCCGTCCATCGTGAGGGTCTGGGGTGCCTCATCTGGGGTCTCCCTCTTGGAGTTTTGCTGCTTTTCTGCAACACCTGGCTGCGAGAGACTCCCCAGCAACTCTGAGGTGCTGTGTAGGAGCTGCGAGAGGTGGAGAGACAGGTTGTGCATGCTGGCCCAGGAGGCCAGGTCAGAGACCGGCGCTGCGCTGGCTTCCAAATGGGCAGAGGAGATGTCCTTATGGCTCCAGTGGAGCCTGCAGCCCAAGGTCTGTGTGCCCTGCTCCAAGGTGCTCATCCTGGCCTGTCCCCCAGGGCCGCCCGCCTCTGATGGACACAGCAGCGTAATCTCATTCACTGGGCCTTCAGTCCAGGGGGACGCACTCCTCGGAGGGCCTGCTTCACCAGGGGGGCCCTGGGACTGGGCTCTCTCATCGGGACGCTTCACGGGGGCTGCTCCTCCAGGGCCTGTCAGGATGTGGTGGTTCCCCAAGGCAAGCGAACAGTCCCACCCTGCCCAGGCCTCACGCGAACCTCGGGGATCGGCACAGGTGCCGAGGTGGGAGTGGAATGGGGCGTTCTGGTCCTCTAGGCCGCTGTCCACCGTATTGCCCAGCACATACTGCTTCCAGCCAATGGGTGCAGGACTCGCTGGCGGGCCGGGCAGAACGCGGGGATTGATGTCACTGGAACCAAAGTGCGCTGCCCCTCTGTCTGCCTCAGAAAGCCTCTCTGGCCTGGCCTGGCCGCCCAGGCTCTGTGGCTTTCCCTGCCGGGCCGGTTCCACTGTACCCGGCACCCAGCAGGCCGTTAAACTGGGGGTCGGCATGCACAAGGGGGCTGAGGTTGGGTAAGGAGGGCTGGCGGGCTGAAGGGGCCTGTGAGCAGCAGAGCTACTATTCCAGTCAGATGAGGCTTCCTGATCGCAGCTCGCAGCTTCCAGAGATGTTCCCGCTGCTGACTTTTCTAAGGAGCGGCCCCAAGGATGGGGGTTCCACAATTTGTTAGGCCCCTGTGTCTCTTCATCTGTGGGGGAAGGAGGTTCCACACTCAAATTCAGCTCCCGAAGAGACCGGGAAGAGCTGATCACGGAGAACTGTGGCCTCGGGGGGGACCTGGAGTCTCTGGGGCCAGAGAAAACGGCAATGACAGGAAGTGCGCGCCTGTGGGGGGGAGCCGGCTGCTGCCTTCCAGAAGAGGGCCAGCCAGGGCACTGGGCCACAGGCACCACGGGGTCACTGGCTGAGTCGGTAAAGCCTGGTGAGAGCGCCTTGGGCGCAGTGGCCGGGGCTGCAGTCCCCTCCTCTCCGCCTGCAGCGCTCATCTGGAAGCCATCTAGGTCACCGTCCTGGGCCTGGGGGGGATGCCTGCGCCGGGCAGGGGCTTCGCCGCCACCCGAGGCCCGCGCTCTCTGCTGCTTGTCCTCCTCCCCGAGACTGCCAACCTGGGCACTGGAGATGTGCTTTAACTTGGCTACAAATTTGGCTTGGGGATCCAAGCTCCTGTGATCCCTGGACTCGGTGGAAAATTGTGGCCTTTCTGGAAGGCATCTGACAGCATTTTCTGAACACCCGTGCTGTGGATCCACCAGCAGCTCACTCTCAACAGACCCTTCGCTTAAATTCAGGGCATGTTGTCTCCTGGTTGGTGCAGGTAGCTCTGGCGTGGTATGACACTCCTGTGCGTTCTGGCCACCTACTGAGCTGTCCCGAAACTTCGTCAGTGGCTCAGAGCACACGCCTTTAGGAAAAGGGGCAGCCTCAAGCTCTGCACGGGCTGCCTTCTTGGCAACCTTTTCCTCGGGGTTCCCTGCAGCAACTGAGGGGCTGAGGGGACCCTCCTGCATGTCAGGGGCAGAAGGGGAGCTGCAGCCTTGACCCAGAGAGAAGGCAGAAGTGGCGGCAGAGGGCTCCAGAGTGCTGCTGCCTGGTGGCCCAAATTTCACACCGAGGCCTTTGGGCTCAGGGCCTGGTGTCAAGAACACCTCAGGCTCACTGGAATAGCTCTCTCCTCTCTCATCCATTCCGTGGGCCCTGCAACATACTTTGCAGGTTGGGTGGAGAGTTTGTGGGGCAGCCTTCCCCACGTCACCATCTCTGTGTAGCAGTGAAGTGGAGAAAGGGGAGGAGCAGGCATAAGAAGCAGTGGCTTGAGGGCTGCATGGCTCTTGACACGTAAGAGTTCTGCTGCCTTCCTGCCCCCCAGATGGGCTGAGAGGCGCTCTGCCTCCAGTGCTCCCTGCTGAGAGGACAGCACAGTCTGAAGTTTCCTGGTGACATCTGCGCAGGGCCTCCTCTCCGACTCCACCGGGGTCTGGGCTAGGTCTTCGATCCGGCAGTGGAGCCGGCTCATGGTGTTTGCTGCCAGCCCTGCGGGCTTCTGCCAGCCCAGAGCCAACACCCCCTGTCTTCACACACTGCTGTGAGGGCGCTTCCGGCTCAGCTCTTCTCGGGGCTCCAGGCAGGACGCTACTCCGCCTGGGCAGCGCCCTCCCTTCTTCTAAGCCACTGGAAGCATTGAGGTCTTGGGCATGGTCTTGGGGAGGCCCTGAGAGACTGGCAGAGTCCCGAACGTTACGGATCGCAAGGTGACTTTCAAAACAGGTAGTTTTTTCTCCCTGTGCAGCCACGGTGAAGTTACCTGACTCTCCCCCACATATGGCGGGTAGAGTTCTAGATTCTGGGCGTGCCTGGCTGCTCTCCTGACTGCCAGGGGGCATGCCCTCTGCCATCTCCCAGGGAACGGACTGGCTCTGCCCATGCTCACTCACTCCAGGATTGTCGGAAGGTTCCTGAGAAGATAAGGCAGCGTCTACTTTCCCTGCTGTTACCCTCCTGGCTTCCTCTAGAGCTGAAGAAGGAAGACTGTCCGGGCCTACCGGACCAGCAGAAATCCTAATTGCTTCTTGCTTTTCTTCCATGATTTCAAATGGGCCCGAATAACATATAAACTGCTCATCCGCTCTCAGGAAAAGCTTCAGTTTTCCAGAATAATGGCTTTTGCCTAGAGCAGGGTCAGCAGGGGAGAAAACCTGTGAGGACTGGCATGGCCCTTTAACGTCAATGTTGGGCAGAGGCTGAAAGCTGTCTGCAGAGAGGGGTGTGGTCTTAAGTGTGTTCCTCTTATCAGGCCACAGATGTCCTGGTCCAGCAGAGGGAGACGCCACACGAAACCCCTGTGCTCCACCCTCATCCCTGGTCCTGTCTGACACTGGCCTGCCCGTTTGCTGACACCGAGGCCTACCAGGGGCCCTTGAAGAACATTCAGGCTCTAACACAGTCTCATAGTAAGGAAGGACTGTGCCCTCAGTCGCCAAGTCATGAAACTGTTGTCCGTGGGCCCTTGTCTCTCTGATCTCCTCCAGCACAGCGAAGCCCGTGGACGAGTGTGCAGGGGGCTCAGGGTGTGGCTCCAGAGACACAGTTGCTGAGAAAGTAGGGCCGGTAAGACCAAGGTCCTCGGCCTCCTTCTCTGCCTTCTGCCTCACCTCCCTGCCCTGGTTGTTACTCTCTGCTAAGGGACAGTTGGCCCTCTTTTTAAGCGTGCTGACTCTTTCTGCTTTCTGTACAGCCACCTTGGCTTCAGAAGGAGAACCCACCCTGGTATTCAAGCCCACTGAGGTGCTTCTGGGGTCCCCTCCCAGGGCTTGGGGGCTGATGCTGGCTGATCTCCTGCTCTCAGCCCCCGGGGGAATGGCCTCTGGTGCACCAGACTGATCCCAAGATCCTAAGGCCATGAAGACTGCAGACCCACAGCAAGCAGCGTGTGTCCTGGAGGACGCCTCTCGCACATCTCCCTGAGGGCTGTGGCTTCTGGGCTCTCCACTCTGGCCCTGACACCCTGCTTCAGTTACCCAGAGACTGGTAGGCATTTTCAACACTGTAGGATCCAGCACATAGTCAACTGAAGAGAGGCCTATAGCATCAGGCGCATGAAGATGGCTTCTTGGCAGTCTTGGGGAACTCAAGGGCAAGGTGTTACTCAGGTCTCGATGGGGAGCCTTAGAGGAGTCTGGCTGACTCAGCGAGGGGCCTGTCTCCTGGCTGAAAAACGTGCCCATACAACGTTGGCTTGGACTAAGCAGCTTCCGAGTCGATGGGACCATTCTGTATTGCTCGTGTAGGCTCTCTCCTCTTTGCATAGTCATTTCCTTAACTCTGCCTTGGATCTTTGGCTCCTCTGGGTAAAAACTACTTATGTGTTTGGGAACGTGGCCTTCCTGAAAATCTTCCATAGTCTCTGATTCCTCAAGACTTTCCAAGCCACGGGGCTGCCTTCTGGGGCTTGCTGATGCATGCACCACCTCACTTCCCTCCTCGGAGGGCCACTCGGGCCTGGGCCGGAATGGCACAGCTCTGGCCAATGCTTTCCTTCTCCCTGGATTAGCAAAAGTGCGGGTGCACTCGCTGTGAGTTGTACATATCCCTAAATAGTCACAAGTGTCCCTGGCAGGTCTGTCTAGTACAGCTGTGGGATTGTGCTCTCTCACAAATTTAGTATCTTGTGCCCAGTCTCCTGACTTGAAGGGACTCGGGATGACTTTCTGATCCCGGGAATCTTCCCCAGTGGTACTGCTAGTCTCCATTTCTCCAGCGTCAACATCCCTAAAATCAGTATCATCTGTGTATTCTGGAGAAGACAGCTGGTCCCTGAAGGACAAGTGGTGTCTAGAGCTGCCTGGCTTCAGGATACAGTCAGCCATCTCCTTGTGCTGGGACACAAACTCATGACTGACGTCCAGTGTATGGGGAGCATAGAGCTGCTTATTCTGCTTGGATTCGATTTCCAAGATGCTATCTTCTAGCTGCATGACACTCTTAATTAGCCTCGCCATTTCGTCAGTATTATTAACTCTTTTATTCGGTTTCTTTCCAGAAGGTGTTTCTTTGTGATTTAACACTTCTTGCAACTTTCCAGGGCCCTTGCATTCAGTGAGGTTTCTTTCCTGAGAGTATAGAACTGACTGGAACCTTTCTTGTGTAGATTCTGTCCATGGCTGCTTAGACTCTTCTGAGCGGTCTCTGGGATGGAGAGACTTTCCAGGAAGCCCAGTTTCATCCTTCCATTCTGCCCTGTGGGTTGGACTCCCATCCTGGGCTATTACCTCTGGGCTCCTTACTCTAAGATATGCTGATCTAGACTTGTCCTTGTCAAAACCTAAACTGATGGTTTTATAGGTGAAATCAGACCTGGCCACCAAAGGGGACTGTCTACAGATATCAGAGGCCTGGCTCTGTCTTAGGACTGCGTTCTGCTCCTGCCCTTCTTCCCCACTTGCCTGAGACTCACACACAAAAGGGGGCTTCCCAAACCCAGAACTGCCTGAGGAAACGGTGCAACTGGACTGTATCATGGTCTTTTCTCCCTCGAGTGCTGGAAGACTGTGCTTATTTAAACTTCCAAGTTGATTTTCATACTCACATACTTTTGTGCTGGCAGACGGAAGAAAATGTCTGTTCTGAGCAACAAAAACATATACTGAGTTATGGCTTCCGGCGCGTTTCCCTATTTCTCCACTAACCTCCGTGGTGTTCAGAGAAACTGGCCTCTCGGCTGTGACCTGCTGAAATGCGGCAGTCTTGGAATCCTGCTTTTGTAAGAGCACGGGCGAATTATTCTTTAAGTAAGCATCCCGGAGGACCTGGTAGTCCTGGCCAAAGCCCCAGGCCTCCCTGGGGGGTGGGGAAGGCACTCTGGCCTCTCTGCACGCCGGGATCTCCAGGGCCGTTTCCGTCAGGGCGTCCCGGCTTTTGGTCACGTAGAATGTTTCTAAGGGAGGTGGCTGCAGGGAAGACGGGCATGAATTCCAGGGAGCAGAGTGCAGGGACAGCTCCGGGCCTGACAGAAAGGCAGAGGAGAGATTGGCGAGTCTTCCAACCACTTCCGTGGCGCTCTCCTGGCAGTCTGCCTCCTCTTCCTGCCGGGGGAGGTGGCTGCGGTGAATTAATTGCCCTGCCAGGCCTACACTGTCCCTCCTGAGAGGAGCACAGCTTTGGGGCTGAGGATCTTCTTTGGTGGCTACGGTGACGTCGCTGTGACAAGGGTTCTTCAGGAAGAGACATTCTTCAGAGGAAGTCGTCAATCCCGGCTTCCCCCCGCTACTCGGAGAGGACTCTTCCAAGTTGCTCCGTTTGATGTCACATGCTCCTGTCATGGAATTTGCCACCTTGTTCTCTGCTGCAAAGACCTGTGCGTTTGTAGCTCCAGAAGTCAATGATTCTATGTCCGCTGAATAATTTCCACTGAAACTCACCTCTTTCTCACTGGTTGCAAAGAAATCTGAAGTGCCTTCTAACTCGACACTCAAACTGTCCTGTTCTTTCTCTGCCCTCAAATGCCTAATTTTGGATATATGGATAGGAAAGTTGTTGAACTTCAAACTGCTAGATAGCCCAGAACCAACTACCAATACAGTACTTCCTCCTCTGCTAGAAGCTTGGGTCAGGGAACCAGAGTCTTCCTCGAGAGAGGTGAAAGCTGGCCTGGGCTCTCCGATGGCCTCCAACACAGGATGAGATAGTTCAAGGAGGCACTTTTGCTGAAGGGCCGCCCAGTCCCTCTCACAGGTGCTGCCTACGTAAGTAAATGAGGTGGCAGAGGCAGGCAGCACGCTTGGTACACTCGAGTTGTTGGATGTTTCAGCGTTGCCCTGCTGGGCTGGGTCAGAGACACCTCTGGCCTGAAAGGTGCCATCCACTCCGGACGGAAAAAGCCTGTATGACCCCCAGAGGGACAACCTGGATGCATCAGAAGCAGGAATGGTGTACACGGCTCGGACACTGCAGGGCCGCTCCGCACCTCCTGCGGGCGGCTTGGGAGTGTAGGGCAGGACTGCTCCTCTACCCGATGGCTTTAGTTCTTCCATCTTTGGCCGGAGTCCAGGCCTCTCCCGACCACTGAGCTGAAATTCCTGGACATCAGGACTTGGACATAAAGAATCCCCTATTCCCAGGGGGCTGTTGGGATTGATCTTGGAGTCACAGGAAAACCAGGAATCCATGGACAACAGAGGGCTCCCTCTTGAAAGCGGCAAGCTTTGCAGAGTGGTGGCTTGCTCAGAGGTGCTTGCCCCCACCTCCGACTCAGGCTGTGCACAGCGGGGCAGGGGCTGGGAATCAAGGTAAAAAGAACTGCTCATTGGCAGGAGGGAATCCAGCCTGGCTCCTGTTCTTTGGGTGGCAGGACCAAGCCTGCACCCTGCCTCCTGGCTCACAACGGGCAGACTGGAGGTCTGCAGGCGCCAAAACGTCTCTGTTGGCATCTCATCGGCTGAACTGAAGAAAGGCTCTTCTTGCTGATCTTCCCCAAGTTCTTCCTCAGCGTCAATCAGGCTATCCAGCGAAAAGCTCCTGTGAGCCTGGGCGAACAGGCCCCTGTCTGAGCATGTGGGGAAGCTCCTCACAGACGCTCTGGCGCTGGCCCTGGGGTCGCTGTTAAGATAACTGTCCCCCGGGCTGTCCTGAGGGCTGTGGTTCCTCTTCTCGGTCAGCGAGTCCTCGGATATTTGGCTGTTGTCGCTTTCCGTGTTCTCTGATTCTGGGGGATGCCATTCCCTCCCCGGGAGGTTCCCTGGCTTCCCGGGCTCCTTTGGGGCTTTGGCACAGACACAGGAGAGAGAATCCACTGAGTAACTGCTATCTGCGTCCGATAAATCGCCTTCTTTTTCTCTCATGGGGTCCTCCCCTGGGCCGGCATCTGTGAGTGAGGCCATGGTGTCTGGGCTCCCTGCACTGTGCTGCCTCTTTGAAGGGCTGCCATGAAGCAAGCGAGAGGGCTTCTTGGTAATGCCTCTGACCCTGGTTGCCGGCACCCCCTGCTGCCTTTCTGATGCCCTGTTTGGAGAAGGTGGTTGGGATTCTGTCCAAAAAGTTTCAGCTGCCTTTCCATGCCCAGCTGCCTGTTTGGGTCCATGGGGATGTGAGCAACTGCAACTGGCTCCGTTAGCAGCCTGGCGGGTCTCCAGGTCCCCTTCTTTTTGCCACCCTGCTGGTCCGTGGCCTGAGTCCGACAGTCTCGTAGCCCTCCTGGCCTGGGTGGAAGGCGTGAGGGCCTCTGGCTTCAGCATCTTGGCTGGTTGTCTCGGAGAGGCTAAGCTCTGGGACACCACCCAGTGGGGCTGCTGACGCCCTCTCTCCCTCTCCTGGATGCTGGAAGATGGAGAGCTCACGCTGAAGCAGGTGCCTGGGGCCCAGGCTCTCCTCCTGGCCAAGGCCGCCCTGGCTGTGCAGAGCTGTCCCTCCCCCAAGGAGCGGAGGACATTGTGGCTGGAACGCCCTGTCCTTGGAGGATACGCAGCCTGGGACAAAGACTCTTCTGACTGGGTGTTCTCTGAGGTCTGATCAGTGGAGTCGGGTATAGGAGGTAATGTGCTAGAGGGATCCCGATTCAGGAAAACACTGTGGAGACAAGGAAAGCCGCCTCAGAAAAGCAAGCAGTCCCTACTCCCTGCTGGCAGAGGGACTGCAAAGTACCCCTCGCTATACCACGAGAGGTTAGAGACTAGGCCAAGGTCGTGTCCTTTGATGTCAGAGGAAAGCTTTGTAGGAACAAAAGGAAACTGTGGACTATAGTCCTGGTTCTCAAAGTGGCCTCAGGTGTACTCTGTTCCTCAATATTTTATCTCATAGAAAGGTTGGAGTCAAATCATGCCTTTAAAGAAAACTTCTAATTAGTTGGCAATAGGAGGAACAGAAGAACAATTTAAATAACACTACAAAAAAATCAAACGGACAAATCTGCAACATAACACATTCTAAAGAACTGGCCCACTCTCTTTAACAAATCAATTATATAAAGAAATAAAACAAAAAATTGATTAAAAAAGATAACCACATGCAGTGTGTAAACCTATTTAGATCTTAATTTGAACAACTATAAAAAGATATTTTTAGGCAATTAGAGAAATTTGAATATGCCCTAGGTGTAGAGCACACCTAATAATTTATCTTAATTTTGTTAGGTGTGATACTGACAATGGGGTATAAGAAAAGTCCTTAGGTTTTAGAAGTGTAGACCTTACATAGGACTGAAATGACATGATGTCTAGGAGTTGATTTAAAATACTTCACCAGAGTTGCGGGCACATCCCCAGTAGGGGGTGTGCAAGAGGCAGCTGATTAATGATTCTCTCTCATCGATGTTTCTAACTCTTTGTCCCTCTCTCTTCCTCTCTGTGAAAAATCAATAAAATATATTTAAAATAAATAAATAAATAAAAATAAAGTACTTCACCAGAAAAAGGAAGGAGGGAGATAAAGCAAGCTTGGTAAATCTTGATAACTGCCGAATGTGTTAGGTATTATTCCCCCAAATTTGTGTATGTTTAAAATTTTTCATAATAAGAAGTTGGTGTTGTTGTTGTTGTTGTTGTTGTTTTTAAAGCCTGATTACTATTCTGAAGACCAGAGAGGTAAGCAAATATACCACCACCACAGACATTGTGTACCTACTATGGGCAAGGACAGTGCTGGGCCCAGAGGATATGAAGGGGTAGACACAGTTCCCTGTTCCAAGCTTTCTTGGGAGATAACATATCCTTACCTTGACTGAATATAAGGAGTGAAGGAGAAAAGAAACAAGAGAATCCCAAAGTGAACCTGGAGTCACTCACCAGTTGGCAGATGGGGTCGGGAAGCTCACTTGAGGTGGCAGGTCAGGTGGGGAGGGAGGAGGAGGAAATGTAGGGACAGTCTGGTTTGAGGCAAGATGAGATGGAAGTGGGGCAGGAATACACAGGAGATGTAAGTGGATAGTGAGAGTCTTTAGATAAAAAATAAGGCTCATGCTGAAATCGGTTTGGCTCAGTGGATAGAGAGTCGGCCTGCGGACTGAAGGGTCCCGGGTTCGATTCCGGTCAAGGACATGTACATTGGTTGCGGGCACATTCCTAGTGTGGGGTGTGCAGGAGGCAGCTGGTCGATGTTTCTCTCTCATCCATATTTCTAACTCTCTATCGCTCTCCCTTCCTCTCTGTGAAAAATCAATAAAATATATTAAAGAGAAAAATAAGGTTCATATAGATTGCACCAAAGAAGCAAGAGCTGCCTCTCAAGAGTGGAGAAGGGAAAAGCCTCAGATTTAGCGGATATCAACTACAGAGAAAGAAGAAGAAGAGCAGAAGAGGAAAAGGGTGATGAGGAAGAGATGAGCAAACACTTCTTTCCATTCTACAGACTGAAGAAGCTGAGGCCGGGCAATGAGGCTGTAACCTCAGCCAGAGCGTCCAGGGGACAGCTGCTGCCCATACCTGCGTAGCTGGGGCAAGCACCGGAGGCAGAGCTCCCGTAGGCTCAAAAAGCTGCCATTTGTCGACTCGCTTCGACATTGACGTCCTGGGAAGGCATCAGGGCTGGGGACCTGGTGTGGGGGCTCCGGGGAACCCTCATCCTGGAGCCAGTACAATGCCTTGAGCTGCTCCAGTCTCTTCTGGGCCTCCAGCTGCCTCCGCTTCTTGATGCTTCTCTCTAGCTGGAATGAGGCCTTTTTTCGCCTTACGTTCCTGTCTGCCACCCGAGGAGTCCGTCTCTGCAGGAGCTGGAGTGGCACCGCCCGCTTCTGGCTTCTGACCAGTGGGGACAGTTGAGGCTCAGGATATGTCTGAAGCCAAGAAGCAGTGGGCACAGAGGCCTCAAGTTCTCTCTCTGCTGTATGGTCTTGCTGTTGCTGCTGCAAGCTGGCCAGCCAGGTCTCTTCTCTGAGCAGCCACTGCTGGTCTGGAAACCAAAAACATCCTGAGAGAAGGTTGGCACCCCCCTCCCTGCCGGTGGCTGCCTGGGCTCAGACACCCCTGTACGGAGTGAAAGAGCTGGCCAGGGTGGCATCCCCTTACCACCGAGCATGAGAATGAAGCCCCAGGCCTCGGCACAGCGGGGGGCATGTGGTAGGGTAGGCAGCAAAGCCGGGACAAATGTGCGCATGAGAAAGCGTGAGCAGAGGTTCATTACTCAGGGGCAATCGGAAGCTGCTTCCTGATTCTTGCTTGTGGGCCCTTGTCAGAGCCTCTGGCCTCTAAAACAGAGGAGAGAATACCTAATACCAAAGATTCCATCGTATCACAAAGAAAACACAGAATACAGAAGGCTGGGGAAGCGTGAAAATGAAGAGGGTGGAAGATGAAGCAGACACTGTGAACAGCGGGCACCGACCTTCTTTAACCTGCCAGCTGACAGGTGCCTGCTCGAATTCCAGGTCCTGGTTGGCTCTAATCTGTCGCGCTCGGAGTCGCTGCCTCAGATCCTGCTGCTGAATACCGGCCCTTCGAGGTGTCTCTCCGGCCCCGGGCAGCTGTTCCTCGTCACTCTGCTCCCCCAGCACCTTCCTGTCACAGAGGGCCGGGTCACCCAGGGAAATGCAAACCCAGTTCAGTGCAAGCCAGCGGCCATCGGAGCCTCTCTGAGAGCCCCTGAATTCAACGGGGCAGAGAGGCTTTGGATTTCTGGCAACGTGGGTCTCCCAGGCGGGTGTCACAGGCAGCTCGTGATGTCACAGTGCAGGATGGAGCACAGTCCTCAGACTAGTATATTCTTAGATTGTGGGTTTAGCAGAAACACAATATATTTTGGTTAAGAAAATAACCAGGGCCGAAACCGGTTTGGCTCAATGGAGAGAGCGTCGGCTTGGGGACTGAAGGGACCCGGGTTCGATTCCGGTCAAGGGCATGTACCTTGGTTGTGGGCATATCCCCAGTAGGGGGTGTGCAAGAGGCAGCTGATCGATGACTCTCTCTCATCGATGTTTCTAGCTCTCTATCTCTCTCCCTTCCTCTCTGTACAAAATCAATAAAATATACTTAAAAAAAGAAGAAATAAAACAATGTTTTTTTTAAAAAAAAAAAAAAAAAGAAAAGAAAATAACCAGGAACATAAAGCAGCTTTCAAACAAACAAACTCCTGTAACATTTTAGCTAAACCAAGAAATGTCCTTTAAAAAAAAAGTTTTCTGCTAGAAACAAAGTGGAGCAGAAGCCCAGAACCACAATAGGGATGGAGGGTCTCGCACATGTGCAGAGACTACAGCTGCCTCTGTTCCCGGAAGGAGGCCCTAGTCCAGAGAGAGGGGGTGCACACGCCCCGCCCCGTGAGAGCCAGCGTGGAGGAGGCTCCCGAGCGTTAGGCTGCAGTAACCCTTTCAGGGACAGATGCAGAAGCGTTTTCTGGTGAAACTGTCTGGGATTTGTTTAGATCCAGTGGGGAGGAGTAGGGGAAGGTGCGTGGGTATGTAAATGAAACAAGATTGGCTATGAGTTGATGTTTGTAGTGTATTTTGGATTTTCCAGAATACAAAGTTTAAAAAGAATTCTAGATTACAGTCCTACTTCATTCTGCCACCAGGTTCCTGTGTGAACATGGACGAGTGAGAGCCTTCCCCTGAAGACGGACAGCTTTGGCCGGCATGCTGACTTTGCCCAGGTTACACACTGCCTTCTGGAGGGGACCTCACGTGCTGTTTCTGCAGGGTCGCCCCATCCCTGTCATTCGGGTTAACTGTGCGGGCACTCCAGGGTGGCAGTGGGAAGGGTCAGCATCCACAAGAGGCTCACAAAAGTGCTTAAATCCAGCCTCCCGCAGCCCTCGTTCCAGCCCCAAGGTGCCAGGACCTGGCACTGGAACCAGCTCTCAGTCCGAGCAGTGTGCTCTAAAGGATCACTCTGCTCAGGAGATTCACATTTCGTAGACCATAATGAAGCCATGGAGGCTTTCGAAACAGAGGTGTTCAGCCTGTGAGGCAGGCTGGGTTTTTGTGAGGGAAGCATCCAAGGAGCACGGCCGCACCACTCGTTATGTGTGGTCCAGGCTGCTGCCCCGCCACCCTGGCTGAGCTGTCACTGTAGCAGAGACTGTGAGTCCGTCAGAGCCTGAGCTACTGCCTGGCCCTTAACAGATCGTTTGCTGCCTCTCGCTTAGAGGAACTCAGATCTCTTAATACAGGCCTAGGAGGACAGTGAAGGATGGATGGGAGGGAGAGTGACTGGACGGATAGGTGCACAGTAGAAGCTGACACACCAGCAGTGTCTTCTCTGTGAAGGACTGGGGGAGGTCACTCGATGTACTGTAGGTCCGAGGAGTAGGACAGGCCCTGATCCTGAGCAGGTGCACCGTGGGGAAGACTGGCACTGCTGCTGTGGGCAAAAGGCCAAATCCACAAAGGGGAGTGTACGTAAAAGAGCAAAGATGCTCTTTGATGCATGTGGCAAAAGACTAGGGATAGTAATAGTAATTGGAATAAAAAAACAAAAACAACAGTTAATGCCACATGAACAGAAAAAGCAGGGAAACATTTTATACACACGTGTGTCATGCCTGCACTACTGCTCCAAAATATGTCCGACCACAGAGCTGAATTCCAACATAAGCCCACCTGAGAGTCTCAGACAGACAAACTCAACTAAGATCCACGGGGCAGGAAGGGGATCTATATTCTGAATTCCCTGATGGCATTAAGATTCCTTCTCTGCCATCTCGAACCCTGATTGCAATTTCCTTCTCCCTGAGATGAGCTCCCTCGAGCCCTCCTCCTGGAAAGTGGCAGCTGCTAATAACCCAGTACTTTCCTTCATGGCAGCATCAGGCCTAAGAGGAGGGGCAGTCTAGGAGGATCGCTGCAGACAATGCATATTCACCCCAATATGCCAGCTGCCATCAGGCTGCAAATGGCTCCCCTGCTAAGTACATCAGCCAAAAAGCAAGTGAAAAAGAAAATACCAACCTTATGCTACATATCTGGGTAGATTACCAAGGGCAAGCTTCCAGTTACCTGCCAGCCAAGGACCTCTGTCTCTCTCAGATGACTGCCCTTCATCTCGGGTGCCTCCTGCCTCCCCCAGCTGCTGCCTGGCCCCTCCTTGCCAGCACTCCGTGGTACCCTCCTGGCCGCCTTGAGTCTGACAGCTTCTGCAGCAGAATGCAGCAGCGTCTGCTCACTGATGCAGCAGCAGCAGCGGTAACAGCAATGACAGTGTCTCCCAGGCCCTGGGCACTTAAAGTTAAGCCCCCAAAATTCCAAACGGGAAACTGCAAAGAACAATTTCAAAGACAAACCCCTCTCTGGTCCAGATCACTGCTGCAAGAGGAAAGGAGGCAGACTGGCAATTTCCCCGGGAGTCAGAGGCTTACAGAGAATGGCTCTGCAGCTCTCTGAAGTCAGCTCCGGCTGGGCAGGCTCCCACAGGTACTCCTCCAGAGAGAAAGGGGAGGGAAAGAAAGCCTAGGACAAGGAGAGGCTTGGGAGCCAACACTCTGCCAACCCCACCCAAAAGCAGAGAAAAGACAGTCAAGGAGATGCAGCCATACCACTGGGAACCCAGCTGACAACAGGCAGTTTTCTCCACTCTCACGGGCTCTTCCCCCAGTCCCGCTGCCCAATCACAGGCCAGAGCCCCACACACCCAACTTCTAGCAGGACTGGCACAGGGTGCTGGCTACGGCAGCTGGGCAGGACCAGCTCAGCCCACAGGCTCCTAGAGCTGGTGCTGAAGAGTGGAGGCAGCGAGTGGGAGGCCTTGATTCTCCTACTTCTCTCTGTCCTCTCTGAATGAAAGGGAGCATTCTCAGTGTTAATGAAAGGTCATGTCAGTGCCTGTGGTGCTAGAGAGCCCAAGAGGGCCGTGAAAGGACAGGAGACCAGTGTTCCTTGGTCAGCTGGGTGAGACGGGGACAGGAAAGCGAAAGGGATGCTGCATTCCTAGACAGCTCTCCATAAGAACCTCCCACCTGGGGAGCTGTAGCTGTGGGATGTCAGGGACTTGGCAGAGCACTCCACATGTTCTAGCTTTTTCATCCTACTTCAAGGATCCCTGGGAGAAAGAGGGCAGTACCCTTACTTAGAGGAGCAAACATATTCAGAGACTCAGTAACTTGCTGGAGGTCACACAGCTTTTCTGTCATCGCCAGGAGGCGAAGCAGCTTTATCCAACCCCATCATCCTCGCTCTTTAAGTTTCAGGGACATTCTCTGTAAGCCTCTGAACTCTGGGAAAAACAGATCCTAGTTCATCTTTCCAACGGAAATCTTACTAAACAAGGCCTCCTTTCATGGATTCATTATAGGGGAGGGGTCACTCTGACTAAGCAAGAGCCTCAGCCTCAGTCCTGAGTCCATCTTGGCCTTGATGCACTTGACCCTGTGTCACCTCTCCCATCTTATCAGTCCCTCCATAGGACCCCTCAGACCTCCTTAGACGCTACTGAATCCTCAGCAGCCCCACTGTGAGGATGTACCTGCTTCCCTCCCTGCCCCAGTGTACCTCTATTCCTCCACCCGACATCCCTCACTGCACGGCCAGACCTCAGGCTGTCTTCAGCTGCCACTGCACTCACCTGGCCTGAGGCAAGAGCAGCTGGATCCCCATGAAGGAACCTGGACCAGTGCCATCAGAACCCTTCCAGGAGCCCTGTGCTCGTGGTGCTGGACAGCACCCTGACCCCGGTGGTCTCACAGGCACCGAATCCCCTGCTGACATTGCTAAATGAAGTCCCCAAGGCAGCAGCCACTTTGCCTATGGGAACAGAAGGATACCACTGTTCCCAATACCAAATCCACAGGTATCTAGAGCTGGAAGGGAATTCTAGGAAGAAATGGGCAAAGAATGACTATAAAGAAGAAAAGTAGTTGCCACCAATCACATATAAAACTCTGGCTCCATGCTGAAACCGATTTGGCTCAGTGGATAGAGCGTCGGCCTGCGGACTGAGGGAGTCCCAGGTTCGATTCCGGTCAGGGCATGTACATTGGTTGCGGGAACATCCCCAGTGGGGGGGGTGCAGGAGGCAGCTGATCAATGTTCCTCTCTCATCGATGTTTCTAGCTCTCTATCCCTCTCCTTTCCTCTCTGTAAAAAATCAATAAAAATATATTAAAAAAAAAAAAAAAACACAAAAAAACCTCTGGCTCCATGCCTCACAGTTACAGTGCTGGTGAAGTGGATGGGAGAGGGTAGAACCCCAAGATATTTTCACATTTCTTCTGGAGGTCCTGTCCTGTTATGCATAGTTCTGGACTCTTGGCAAAGAGAAAAAAAAGAGTCTCAGTCCCACAATGTCTTTAAAAACTCAGAGAAAGCCATAGTCCTGGAAGCTATGTGGCACACATCCGAGCTCCCACACAGGCAGCATGGAAGGTAATGAGGTTTACAGGGAGGGAAGCTCAGAAACTGTATCAAAGCTGCCTACAAACACACCACATTTAAATCTGGGTGACAGAGGAAAGTGGTATAGGAAACAACAAATGTCATGCCTTTCAGTGATGAAGAAAACTGGAATATCAAAGAGGAAATAAATGAGGGCCAAGACCACTTCCCTGCCAACTGTCAGCCGAGCAGCTAGCTCAGCATCTTCAAATCACATTCCAAGTTGGTGCAGACCAGGCTCCATTCAGACCGTGGCTGCTACCCTCATCTCCTCCCAGCTCCATGTTGTAATGGACTAAGAAGAAACATTCATAGGTTTCACAGCAGAATGAGCAGATGTTTCTCACCTTTTCTTCCCAAGCAGAGAGCAGAGACCCAGCCTGGAGGCAGCGACATCTCCATCTAAGTTCAGCCACTCCAAAGAGCCGCTACCACCAACAGCCTCTCCGACCTGGGAACAGAAAGAAAGCACAGCGAGTCTGCAGCCATCGGCCCTCCCCACCCTCCCAAGAGAGCCAGACAAAGCTCAAACTCCTTCCCCAGAAAGGAGAAACCGGGAGGCCAGCAGCCACACAGAGAGCACAGCGTGCTCACCTGCCTTCTCTGCCGAAGGACAGCGGCCTCTGCTGGGTGGCTGAATCGGAACGTCTGTGCTTTCCCCAGGGTTATGACTGCTCCTGTGGCAGAGAGAGGAGGATGAGAATTCAGCTCCTGTTCTGAGGATACACTACAGGCAGGGCACTATTCTGGGAGATGAAAGTCCTACCCTCAACAAGTGGATAATTTAGCTGAGCCAATAAAATATATATTCATTGGATACTGCACAGCACATGCATCAAACTAATGAGATGAACAGGAAGAGCCTGGTACTCAAAAGAGAAGCAAGATGTGCTGCAGGTGTAGCAGTCAGGGAATACTTCATGGGAGAGGGGGAATGTAAGCTCAGCCTCAAAGGACAGACAGAACTTAAACAGATTAAAAATAATAGTAATAGTGACAGTAATAATGATAATGAGTGTTTACTAAATGCCAAGAACACTGTTAAGAACAACATTACATGAATTAGCTCACACTTCCTGCTATTCAATCCTATTATTATCCCCATTTTTCAGATGAGGAAATGGAAGCTCAGAGACTTTCCCATGCACAGAGCTAATAAACACAGGGACAGATTTCAGATTCATTCTCCATTCTGGGGCCCAAGAAATAGGGCTTCTTGCGTGCGAAGAAGACTTATTAGGAAACCTTCCGATCTCTGGGTGCAGAGGCTGCTTCACTGAGTTCTCTGAGTCCAGCCCATGAGCATGGAGCTGGCCCATCACTCATCCTGCATAAACGGGAATGTAGACAGTCCTACCTTGGGTCAGACGGCAGGAGGCAGTGACTTCCCGGCCATTGACTAGGCAACGGGCCCCCTGGGCAGGCCGCAGAACGACGACCCCACAGGCGCTGGTGATGGTGCAGTGGTCTCTCTCGATCCATTGACCCTGCAGGACTACAGGAGAGGTGGGGGTCACCTGGACGGAGGCATGGCCCAGAGGAACACCTCCTCCAATCTTCCCATGAGATCAGAATCCACATCTGGAAGATCTCAAATCATGACAAAAGAGGAAGAGCCATCACCTGAAACCACCTAGTCCTGGATCCTCCCACATGTGGGTCCCCTCCTGTCATGTCCCAGCCACAGAGCTGCAGTCCCCCAGCCTAGCAGCAAAAGGAGCGGCCCTTTAGGACTTCAAAGATCCTTTCCTCTCAGATCACCATCCAGTTCCTCTGCAGAAACCTGTCAGGCCTGAGCACCTGCCACCAAGTCACTTACCAATATCCTGTTCCTGCTCTGAGTCAATCCTTCCTATTTTTGTTGTCCCCTCCTAAAGGGAAAAACGAAGCCATTGAAATGAGAATAAAAAGGAACACAGCCCTGCCTCCAGAGGAGAGTCCACTGTTTGAGTTTATCATTGCCTTTCCCCACCCACCCCAGCTTTTCCCACATCACTTCTCAACTTGGGTTCAGGCTGTTCTGACTGCTCTGCCCACTCACTCTGCAGCCAGAAGGACCTGAGAGGTGGGGGACAAAAAAAATATGTAACAAAGCAGCACCAGATCTTTGCAGAGTCCAACAAGTGTTGGCAAACTCCTACAGCCTGAAGTTAGGGAATAGCCATGGCCAGCAGAGACCTTAGTCTGAGGAAGTGGGCACACAGGGATAGCTTTTCCCAGGGCTGAGGGTCATGTGGTCCAGTCAGTCTCAGACACACGTGTTCTAGAAGGTGAATGGGAGCACAGGACTTTTACCTTCTTGGTCCGCAGATGAAGTTTGACAGACACCAGATTGTAAGAAGGATAAAGCACGAATAGGACAAAAGCACATCTAGAATCAAAAAAAGGACTGGAAGAGAGTATAAGAGAGGAGGGGAAACGGGAGTTAATATAAATGAGTCACAAGGTTAGTAGAAGACAAGGCCTTTTGGCCTTGGATTATGACAATTCAGACCACACAGCTCTGTTGAGGAAGGCAGCAAATGGCAAAGAGTTGCTGAGTTTAAATATGTATTTGTCATTCACTGAATAAACCATTCACTATGTCCTAGGCAATGTGCTGACTTATTACACCTCTTATTTAATCCTTTAACCCAAATGTAGGTATTATCCCCTGTTTGTATGTTCATAACAAGGAATCTGAAGCTGATGAAACCATAAACTAAATAGGAGAGTTCTGGCTAGAATTCCGTGCTTTTCCGACCTCAACATACCACCTCTCCAGCAGCTGAGGCTTCGCTGTTCACAGCCACAGGGGTGGTCCCTACCATTTCCCCAAAAGAGCTGGTGAGAGGGAAGACTCCTAGAAGTGATGAATGAGGCTCTGCGCCTCCCTCTACATGCACACCCACAAACAGCCAGAGCCCAGACTTTTCTGCTCAGTCACTGAGGATCACACAAGCCAATGGACACTGGCCTCCAAGCACTGCCAAACAGAATCAAGAGAAAGAGGTCAAGACCCCTCGTGTGGGTTCAGGGTCACCCTGATGATGAGGCACATTCCTCCCCAAAGGATGAAGGCACATCACAACTTCTAGACCTGCAGGGCAGTAACAACCAGAAAATGCGATGGCTTCTGTTTAACAGGATTGAACTGCTTCCTTACCCAGGGGAGGGTAAGCAGCACAAAGGCACGTATGTGGGGAATTCCAGGACATCAGTAACCTGTGTACTATGCATCCTTCCCTCGGCCCCCTTCCACCTGAGGTTCCTCCTGAGGTGGCTCAAGGGAAAACAGCTCCCAGGGCATTGCTAGTGACTAGTCCCAGATCTGGAACCAAGTCAGCAAAGCAAAAAACAAACAAGAGAGCATCCTGAGTGATTACTGTTACATCCCCAAACCAGGGTGTAAACAAATGAAAGGGAAAATGGGTACATAGTATGCAGAAATGCCAGGATTAGCACTAACTGGAACCCCATGCCCTGGCTCACTGGACACGCACCCAGAGAGGGAGTGCCACCTGGGTGTGCACTGACTCAGCGGGAAAGCCAGCACCTCTGGGTTCAGATGGGCAGTTGTGTCCTTTGACCCTCAGCTATACCCCAAGCTCTACCACTTGACTTCCAGCTTCATCAGCTCCTTCCACATGCAATCAATATATCAGATCAGTTCTCCTCAAATACTGGCCATTTTAATCCACCTGGTAACTTCCAATCTCTCCCCGTGGCTCTGACTAAGAAGGATCCATAGTATTTAGGTTTTGCCTGAGGCATTTTCACTGAGATCATTTGCACTTTGTGTATCATACAATAAGCTACTTTAACGTTGTCTGAGAGCCCCAGTCTCTGACAACTCCTTCGGGGCTTATCCTAAGACCAGACTTTCTGCACATGATGAGCTTTGCTAACATCTCACTACCACATGCACTGCAGCATTAGGAGTCTAATTTCTCCAGGGATAATAGCAGCATTACACAAGCCCCATAAACTCTGTTCTTTTTCATGTCCACCTTGGACAATTATGAGAATGAAGATTGGATTTTCAGTGGGCACATAATTTGGACACGTAAAATATATTTTGTCTTCCACAGAGACTGTCCGACAGCAGGACATTTTCTATGAGGTCAGGATATGAAACTATCCACCATGGGTAACTGATTCTCAAACTGCTTCTTTTAGAAATGAGCACTTTGCCTCCAGATGACAAAGAACCAGCTGAGCAAGGTCCTTCATGGAAAGCCTTAACTTCATTCTGTTTTCTCTGGGTGGCTGCATGTCATGCCCCCACTCCTTACCCCCATCCCTTTAGACTCTCCCTCATGCTTTCTCTAAGATTCAGGTATCTACTTTCTCTCTCCTCTCTTCTTTCCTAAGTAAACCTAATAATGGAGAATTGTTGGTTTGTGGGTTGAGTGACATGGGGAAGTATTAAAAGGGAACTGTTTCAGATCATCTGACTGCCCCATTAGCCATCTGTGAGCAGTCTGCATTTGCACAACTCAGGAGTACCAATGGTACTTTAAGGTTAGGATTTCACTTCCTTGCCTGCATTTGTGTGTTTTAGGAAGCCAGAAAAGGAATACAAGCAGCATCATTCTTATTTTAAAACTAGAGGCCTGGTGTATAAAATTGGTGCACTGGGGGGAGGGATAATCCCCTCAGGCCGGCCTGTGCCTTCTCACAGTCTGGGACCCCTTGGGGGCAGATGTCCGCCTGCCAGCTAAGGCCTGATCCCTTTCGAAGTCAGGGGCTCTAGCAGTCTGAGACTCCTTGCTCCTTACTGCCCACCTGCAGCGGAGGCAGGAATCTCCTGCTATCGCCACTGCATTTGCCAGCTGTGAGCCCAGCTTCTGGCTGAGCAGCTTCTGTATTGAGCGCCTGCCCCCTGGTGGTCAGTGCACATCATAGTGACCAGTCGTTCTGCTGGTCATGCTGCCATTTGGTCAATTTGCATATTAGGGTTTTATTATATAGGATGAGGAAATTAAGATTCAGAGAACAAAAGTAAATTATATAAAAGCAACAGTAGCAGCAACTACAAAAGAAAAATGATTGTTCTGATTTCCAGTTTTCTGCTCCATTCATACAAAAGCCAAACCGGTACCAATTGGCTGGCTAGCTGTTTCCTGCGGGTAAACCTGAAGTCTGCTCTGGGACATCTGTCTCAATTCACAAATGCACAGCTGCTGCCACTGGCCTTTCCCTCCTTGACCTCTGGAGCCAGTAACTCAGGAAGAGGGAATGCACCTGCCTACTCACCTTCAGGTGATAGAGAACGACACCTGTGCTGAGCACATCCTCCTCCAAGGCCATCAGGTGTGGCAGGCTGGAATCGATGACAACCCCAGCCCTCCTCCTGTTGATGTCCACTCTGTAATGCTCCATGAGGGCCTTCCACTCATCCCACTTCTGAGCCCAGTCTTTAGTCAGCTGGTCTATCTGCAGAGACAGAGGAGGCGGTCTCAGAGACTCAGCGCAGGAAGCAGGACTGAAGTTGAGGTGGCATCTTGGTCTGATCGCCCACCGCTCCCCAGGTATTACTTCCTTACTCTCCTCACTGCCACTGGCCGAAGCCCCCCAGAGGCCCTCGCACCTCCTCTGGGAGATCTCTGTGTTTACAAGTTTTCTTCAATAAGCAAGTGTTACTTTCCTAAAAAGAAACTCCTTCATGAACAATATTTTTAAAGTTTTCTGCAACAGCATGTATTGTTTTTATAATTGGGGACAAACACTATGTGTTATGTTTTAAATTGATGGAGAGATTAGTCAGACATCTGTACTTCCCTCTCCCCATCCCCTTCTATGGGAGCATCCTGGGAATCCTTTTGTGACCTAACACTTCTTTCTCAAGGAGCAGCACCTGCACTTCTAATGTATGTACGTGGCTCAAAGACCACAAAGCACAAGAGAAGTCTCCCCAGGGAGAATATATGAAACTATGACACCACATAGTAATAAAATAGCAACAACAATAAAATCCTGAGGGCTTATTATGTATAGGATCACAGTGTTAAAAATAAATGTACCAAGAGTTGGGGCCTTAACACCATCTAAAGAATGTAAACAAATAATATTGAATGCAGAGTCTTTTTCCTTCGTATAGTGGAAATTCATGCCTAGGCAGGCAGCTTATCCTGGAAGTGGAAGAATTGAGGAACCCAAAAAAGAAACTGAATTCACCTAAATACTTCTCTCATAAGTGCAATACTTAAGAAAAAAAGATGCTATGCCAAGTTTGTATACAACTATTTTATGTTCCCTACAAAAATAACTTTTAATGTCACATTCCCTGAGTTGAAGTTTGAAAAATACAGGGTAACCAAAGGGCTGAGCTGGATTGGGAACTGGCAGAGGTGAACAGCAGGTCACTCTGGCTTAGTTTGGCCAACCCGGCACAGAACCTGGAGGCACAGCTGGACACGCCTCCCTCTGGCTGGCTCTCTCACCAACTCCTTCATGCCTGCCGTCACAGGAGAGGCCAGCCATTGCAGACTCAAGCCCCCTTGAATTCTGCTGGCCTGCATAACGCAAAACTGCTAATAAGCCTGGAATGATTTTGACTCTTTATCTCTTATGTATAGAAATACAATATTTTCTGAACCCCAGATTAGAACATATGGTTAAACACAGAATTTCTGAGAAACTTCTGGATGTATGATATAGTCCTAAAGTTTAGTTTGGATAATATGCTGACACAGCCAGGATACTTTAATAACACATAGGATGATGTAATAGAATATGGACATTGAGACATTTGTTTGCAGGATCTAAATAGAACCTGTCATTAAATAATGCCTGCCTTTTTTTCCTTTTAAGTGTCTCTGGGAATCACCACTTAATCTAACCAACCAAAATAATTTGTCTGCCCTCTCACAGGGTCACGACAGCAGTCTCTTTTCTGGTTGTCTCTCTGCCTCCAGGCTTCCCTCCCTCCAATCCATCCTACATACAACTGTCACATTAATTTCCCTACTATACTTCTTCATTATCACCACCCTGGTTCAAACCTCCCAAACTGGCCCTCACCTTAGCTCCACTAACTTCTACCAGGAGCACCCATTCCCGATAGCTTAGCCTTCCTCACTCTGTGTGCTTCCCCGTGGCCTCCCATACCTGTTCATTCTCTCAGTTCTATGGCGTTGCTTATATTATCCCTCTCTCATCCCAAATTCCTTGCCCCTACTATCTACCTAACAAACTCTATCAATTCTTCCAGGTCTAGTTCAAGTTCTCTGACTTCCAGCTCCAATTCCAAGCCATCATGATTCTTTCCTTCCTGAAGGTCTTTCATCTAACTTTGTGGTCGGCAAATTGTGATTTCACAGCCACATTTGGCTCTTTGGCCCCTTGAGTGTGGCTCTTCTACAAAATACCACGACCTGGGCGAGTCTATTTTGAAGAAGTGGCCTTAGAAATTTATGTTTTTAAAAATTTGGCACTCAAAAGAAATTTTAATCATTGTACTGTTTATATTTGGCTCTGTTGACTAGTGAGTTTGCTGACCACTGGTCTAACTCATACAGTTATTACATTCAATCACTCTCTGACTGTGCTCTCAACTACACTGCAAGCCACTTGAAGGCAGGGACTACTCTGTATTTCTTTTTTTTCTTTTCTTTTTCTTTTTTTAAAAATATATTTTATTGATTTTTTTACAGAGAGGAAGGGAGAGAGATAGAGAGCTAGAAACGTCGATGAGAGAGAAACATCGACCAGCTGCCTCTTGCACACCCCCTACTGGGGATGTGCCCGCAACCAATGTACATGCCCTTGACCGGAATCAAACCCGGGACCCTTCAGCCCGCAGACCGACGCTCTACCACTGAGCCAAACCGGTTTCGGCTACTCTGTATTTCTGGTAGCATCATGCAGAGCACCTCTTTGGTGCTCAATGAATACATGTTGGTTGGTTGATTTACCAACTAGAAAATAAATTTTATTTTCTAAGCTACTGTCACTATCCAAAGGGAGTTATGAATCTTTGAGAGAACAAAACAAAGTCAGAAAGCTTGTCACCAGCTCTTCAGACAAACAAATCCCCCATTCAAGGCCAAGTGAAAACAAAAATTATCTCTAAACCAGACACTTTGCTGACAAGGGAACAGCCCGGGCCCAGGAATGATGGAGGAGATCGGACCTCCTCCCCGGGTGATATATAGCACAACGGGGTCCACCTCACACACCCACCTTCAGTTCGTTCTGGAGAACCAGCTCCTTCAGACTGCCATCCTTCTTGTCACGCAATGAACTGAAGTTTCTCTGCACAAAGAAAGAGCTGTGTTTCATGGGTCCCACCCTTACCCTGATGAGGAGATATCAGATGCAGATAAGGGAAAGACTATAATTAAAATCAGAAATAAATCAGAAGCCTAAGTATTTGGGCTCAGATTGACACAAAGAAGGTGAATTCAGGAATTTTTCTGGAGCGCCCCATCCCCTTATCTGCCCACACACAGAAAAAGAGCCATTCAGGCAAATACCCGTGGACAACAAAGATGGTAGAGTACGAGGATGTCCACTCAAACTGAAACCACACAGGCAACCAGAACAATCCCCATCCTGGCTCTGCACCTGCCCCGCCCACAGGTGTTACTTAACTGAGAACACATGAAGCAGGACTCGGATTCTTTGTGGAAGAAAAGGGGCTCTTGAATACATACAAGTTCTGATTGCTGCATACCAGTTCGAAGCTCAGTAGCACGGCTTTCAGTCTTCTAATCTCTTCCCTGAGTTCTCTGATCAACTTTACGTTTGCATCCTGAAACACAGGGAACTCAGTCACCACTGATTGATGTCAGGCCCTGGATAGCTTCATGCAATCAGCTTGGAAGAAGTAGCTTACTCCTTGGGAGTACCTTCTGGGGTAGCCTCTTACAATGTGGTCCCAGGACTAAGAACTTGTTAGAAATACAAATTTTGTCCCTACTCAACATCTATTAAATAAAATATTCTTGAGGGCTGGGGCCCAAGCTGTGGTTTAAGAAACCCTCCAGGAGATTCTTATACATATTAAAGTTTGAGAATCACTGTTCTAGAGCAGGAGGTCAGGCAGGTAACACAAATGCCAGGGCTTTTCAGATAGTAGGTGCTAATCTTTCTGTATTGTAACTAAACTTAGTACCTGTTTAACTACATTGCCTTTTTTAACCCTCGGCTAAAAATATGTTTTTATTGATTTTAGAGAGAGAGGAAGGAGGACAGAGAGAGAACATCGATTAGTTGTTTCCTGTACTTGTCCCCAGTGGGGATTGAACACATAACCTAATTATGTGCCCTGACAGGAAGGGAGCCTGCACCTTTTAATGCACTGTAAGATGCTCCAACCAACTGATCCACCTGGCCTGAGCTATTTACAATTACAATTACAATTATAATTACGTTGCCTTTTATAATAGTCCACATAGATCTGTCTGACCACTAGTTTGTAATTTCTGCTGTGGAACCATTCACTGAAATTGCAAAGCAGATAAGAAATTTTTGGAATATTCTCATCATTATTCAGCTTTCAAAACTAATGAATTTATTATGTGCCTATTTTAGCCTGAAACAGAGACATAACTACCATGTATGCATCAACATATAAGCATGCATTAACATATATTCAGAATAAAATTAATAAATAATAATTATTAAGTAAATAAATAAGAAAATAATCTTTCTTATAGTGACAATGGTACACCACAGATGTTAAGAAGAATAGTCTTAGGGAAATATTTAAAATAAATTATTCATAAAAGGTTATAAATGAAGTCAGTAGAGAAATGAGAGAAAGGTATTAACACTAGAAAAAATTTCACTTTCTTATCATTCAGAACAAGCTTGGCAAGAGGAGAGAAAGAGAGAAATACTTAAGAAGAATGACACCAGGGAGATAAATAACAAAAGGAGACCTTTATGTAAAGTACTAGAGGCCGGGTGTACGGATTCATGCCCTGGTGAGGTCCTGAGGTCTGGCCTGCACCCTCTCGCAATCTGGGACCCCTCAGGGGATGTCCGAGAGCTGATTTCAGCCCAAACCCCACAGGCCAGGCCCAGGGACCCCACCAGTGCACCATCAGGGCCAAGGAGGGACCATAAGAGGGCTCCAGGGCGTGTCTGGCATGTCCTGCCCAGTCCCAATCAGCCGGACACCAGCAGCTCGCTAACCTACTGGTCAAAGTAGGTTAGTGGTCAGTGTGTGTCATAGCAACTTGTCAAACAGTCACACAGTTGGACACTTAGCATATTAGGCTTTTATTATATATAATAGGATAACAGACCAGGACTTTAGATGAAGGTCTCACCTCATTCACCCGTGGCTTGTTGATGATGTTCTTGGCATTGGATGCATATCTCAGTGTGCTCATGGTTTCACTGTAGCTAGTGTGTGCAGGAGACACGGCTAAGGTACAAGGAGAAAGTTAAAAATCATGCCGAGCCCTCTGACCCAGCCCATAACCACTTGCCTTGCTGTTACTGTCCATCTGTGTAAGAGACCCTTGATGAAATGGGTGGTCATGGCCCTTTCTCTGAGGCACAGTACCAGTCCTAACCCAGAACCAGTCCCAGCTTCCTACTCACTGGCAACCATGATGGTTCTGGAGTTGCCTCCAAGGCTGTCCTTCAGCAGCCAGGTCAACACGGAGTCCCGGTATGGAATATAGGACTGCCTCCGAGAGGGTCCCCCTTCAATGCTGGTCCCAGGAGAGCCAGAAATCCCAATATCACCACCACTTCTAATTACACTGTTAAGGCTCTGGCAGCTGCTGAATACTTGAGAGTTCTGGGCTTAAAATACAAAAAATAATAAGATTGGGAGAAAAAAAGAAATTCTGAAGCAAATGCATTAAAAGAAAACAATGGCTAGGAGCACTTCCTACACCCTTGCTGCATACAGTAAGATGCTTTCAGTTTGAGTTCTAAATCAGACTTTGGATTCATGGCATGGAGAACTTGAGTTACACAATTTTTTAGTCTCTCTTCTTTCTGAAATAAGAGTACAAGGATAATGGCTAACTTGTATTCTAAATCAACAGATAAATATCTATTTTTATGCCCCAAACCACAAGGTAACTACATAAAAAAGAATCTTGTATCTGCTCCATTTTGGTTTTTTATTATTTTTTTTTCTGCTCCATTTTGAAAAATAGAAATACACAAGTTATTCTCCAAAGTCTCCCTTCCACTCTGATGATCCAGTTTATCAGCCAAATACCTAAGGTGGAGATGACAATTCCCAGAGTCACGAGAGACTTGTTGATATTGGCTCCTTCAGTGATCCGATCCTTACAGTAGCTGGGGTCTGCTCTTTCACTAAAAAAGTAAATGAAGAAAAAAGCATACAAGACAACACTATCCTTACAATATTGCTGAAGATACTATCCATTATGTTGTATATCACATAAAAGATCCAATAAATTCCTTTTAGAATTCAATTCCAGAAAAAAAAGTTACCATCTTGTAATGAACTAGAATTCTTCTGTTTCTCAAGCATTAAAAATCAAATAATTCATTACATTTCTGTTTTTAGTTTGGCTGCCAGAGTCCTTCCAACTAAATGCAATACTCACAATAATTATATTAGCACTGAAGGCCTAGTGGATGAATTTGTGCAAGGGTGGGGTCCAGCCAGCCTGCCCAAATTAGGGCCGATTTGGCTAGAGGCCAGCTGGGGGAGGGGTTACAGGCGGTTGGCCGGCGGGCTCCACCCCCTGATCGAACTCCCTGTTGAGAGGACAATTTGCATATTAGCCTTTTATTATATAGGAATAGAGACCCAGTGCATGAATTTGTGCATGGGTAGGGTCCGGCTGGCACTGATCGGGGGCCAGCAGCCTTGGGGAAGGCCATGGGTGGTTGGTTGGGAGCTGATCAGGGGTGGAGCTGGCCTGGGGGAGAAACTGCAGGCTGATCGGGGTGGGGCAGGCTGATCAGGGACAGGGCCAGCTAGGAGGAAGGAGGTTGATCGGCTGCTTTGCCCTCAATCAGGGTGGGAGAGACCCATCAGGAGTAGGATGGCTGGGGGCAGGGACTGCAGGAGGTTGGCCAGCCAGCCCCACCCCCAATCAGGCCAAAGTAGCATCATAGCTTTTTGGTATAGTCACTGCCCCTCTGCCTTTATTGTTTTATTTCACACATTACTGGCTTTATGATATCTGTGTCATTACTGTCAACTATCTCAAATTCCTTTTTTTAAATAAATGGGCAATAGTCAAAATTTACACTTCTGATTAATTATATAGTTCATTCCAGATAGCACTTAGTTGTTTAGGGGAGACTTTTTTTGCACTTAGTTTTTAAGGAACTACTGTACCATATTAATTATTTAGCAATTTTAAAATAAGAAAATTTCCTTATTTCATCTTACTTTTCTGTGACCACATTGTCCCCAAGACTTTCTTCTTTCTGGACATGTGACTATAATTCATGCTTCATTCTAATACTTAAAAGGCAGAATGTTGCCCTGACTGATTTGACTCAGTGGCTAGAGCGTCGGCCTGCGGACTGAAGGGTCCCAGGTTCGATTCCAGTCAAGGGCATGTACCTTGGTTGCGGGCACATCCCCAGTAGGGGGTGTGCAGAAGGCAGCTGATCAATGTTTTTCTCTCATTGATGTTTCTAACTCTCTATCCCTCTCTCTTCCTCTCTGCAAAAAAATCAATAAAATATGTGTGTGTGTTTGTTTGTTTTTTTTTTTTTTTTAAAAAAAGGTAGAATGTTTTCCTCAATGCCACAATATTAAAAAACAACACAAAACTTTTTTTTTTTAAGTAATGTAGAGAGATGTATAAAATCAAAACTAAGTCAAAGGAAAATAGTATGCTTTTTAGAGCAGCAGTTTTCAATTCTGGCTAGCACTGAGCACTTTAAAACTACTGATGCTTGCACTCCCCAGACCCCACTAACAACCTGATTTATTTGGTATAAGGTGCAGCCCAGACATTGGGAATTTTAAAAGGTCCCAGATGATTGTAATATACATCTGGATTGAGATCCCCTGACACAGAACTTTTCACAGTTCCTAGAAGCTATAATTTCTTAACCTAGTATTCAAAGAATGTTTCTTTTGTGATTTTCTCAGGATTGTTGAAATATGAAAAAAGGTTGGAACATGGCTATTCCCTTTAAAAATAGCAAGAACAAGGTGTCTGCCAAGGGAGTAATAACCCTTGGCTTTGAAATCTAATTACCTGCCTGCTAAGTCCACGAGGTTGATCTTGCTAGCGACTTCAGAGGGGTGGTTGTTTTCCAGAACCGCCTAAGGTAGAAACACACGTAAACCTTGTCATTTGGAACAATGCGCCCCCCCCCCCCCCCATTAGACACCTTCCTAACCACGGTGAGATTTTGGATTTTTAGCCAACTCATTCCAAAAAAAAATCTATATTCAAATGTGCCAGATGAGATCTCAATATCTGATAGATACAATCAGTAAGCTCTGGGTCCTTACTTCACTGAAAACATGAGAAGACTTCTACTGAAAAAAACTGGGCAAACCCCCAAAAAGTCCTCTGACACGAAGGGACACCAAGAATTTTAGTGCAATTGACCAGGCAGATGTTCAACTTTCCTCCAGGGGCTCCGACTCTCACAGCAGGTGAGGGCCCTGTTGGAGGTTTTGTCTGTCTCTCATTAACCTTAGTCACATCAGGCTAACTGGCTACGGCAGCGATTTTCAATCTATTTCATCTCATGGCACACAAACTAATTACTAAAATTCTGTGGCACACCAAAAAGTGTATTTTTTGCTGATCTGACAAAAAAAAAAATTAGATATACTGGTAATTTTGATTCATTCACACAGGGTGGCTATTGTGTCAGCTATTCTCATTTTTCTTATTTGACATTCTAAGGGAAAAGAGGTCGGCACCCCTGACGAAATATCAGGCATTGCATGTTTTAAAGCTTTTTGCAGCACACGAGTGTACTGCAGAACATGGGTTGGAAATCGCTGGGCTAGAGCAAGCATTATGCATCTTTATATTATATTCAGGGGCATCCAGCCCTCAGGAGCAAAACTTTTTCCTTTTCCCCCCTCTTTAATTCAATGTTTATTGTTTTGCTTTAATGTTGTACATCCATCACAAAAAAATCTAGCTTTAAAATATTTCCCAATTTTCCTCAAGTGTGTTTGCAGTCATTCTCCATTCCCAATCCCAGCCCTAGGCAACCACTAACAACTTTCTGTCTTTATAAATTCATCTTCTCGGGATATTTCATATAAATAGAATACTACAATATATGGCTTCTTTCACTGTGCATAATTATCTCAAGATTCATACATTTTAAGGTGTCTATTAGTAGTTCATTCATTTTTATTGCTAAGTAGTATTCCATTGAGTAGTTTATCCATTCACCTTTTGATTGACATTTGGGTTGTTTTCAGTTTTGAACAATTACAAATAAATTTTATAATTTATTACAAAATATATTTTATACAAGTAACAAACATGAATATTTGTGTACAAATCTTTGCGTGGACATTTTTTTTTTTGTCTTAGGAAAAATACCAAGGAGTGGATCACATGGTAGGCATATGTTAAATTAAAAAAAAAAATTTTTTTTAAGGTATTGTACCACTTTCCATTGCCACCAGTAGTGTATGAGAACTCCAGCTCCTATACATGTTGCCACTATCCTATCTAATAAAAGAGTAATATGCAATTTGACTCACTCCAACACACAAGATGGCCGCCCCCATTTGGAAGTAAGATGGCTGCCACAAGATGGCTGGCAGGGGAGGAGAGTCATGGGCAATCAGGCCAGCAGGGGAGGGCAGTTGGTGGCAACCAGGCTGGCAGGGGAGCAGTTAAACATTGATCAGGCTGGCAGGGGAATGGTTAGAGGGTGATCAGGATGGCAGGCAGAAGTGGTTGGGGCAATTAGGAAGGCAGGCGAGCAGTTGGAAGCCAGCAATCCTGGATTGTGAGAGGGTGTAGGCTAGGATCGGAGAGGGTGCAGGCTGGGATGAGGGACAACCCCCCACCCCCATCCACAAATTTTGTGCACCAGGTCTCTAGTTTAGAATAATTGCTGTTTTTAATTTTAGCCATTTTATTTAATAGATTTATTTATTTATTATTATTACAGAGAGGAAAGGAGAGGGATAGATATAAACAATAATGAGAGAGAATCATTGGCTGGCTGATCCCTCACTGACACAGGCATATGCCCTTGACCAGAATCAAACTGGGACCCTTCAGTCTGCAGGTCGACACTCTATTCACTGAGCCAAACCAGCTAGGGCTAATTTTAGACATTTTAAAAAGTGAGTAGTGATTTCTCACTTGGTTTCAATTTGCATCCTATAATAACTAATGATGTTGGGTATCTTTTCAAGTGCTTAATTGCCATCTGTATATTTTCTTGAATGAAGTGTTGGCTCAAAATTTTACCATTGTTTTGACTTTTATTAAGTTTGGAGAGTTCTTTATATATTCTGGATACAAATACTTTATCAGATATATATGTTTTACAAATAAATTCTCCCAATCTGTGGCTTTTTTTTTTATTCTCTTAACTAGTAGCCCTGCGCACGAATCCATGAGCCAGTAGCTCCCTGCAGGGCCTGGATGCTCCGCACCTGCTGCCCAGATGCTCTCCACAGCCCAGAGGCCCATCGTGGCTCGGTGCAGAACACTAGCCTCATTGCCGGGATGACAACACAAGTGTTCCCCCCTACCCCCTGCCACTCCGTGCCCGCTGCCCAGAGGCCCTCCGCAGCTGGGGTGGAACGCTTACCTTGTCGCCATGGCGACAAAGCAAGCATTTCGCCAGGCCACTCATGCTGCCCGCTCTTGGCAGCTGCCCCCCCTAGGACTGAGGGACTCTGGTGAGGCTGAGAGGACTGGGTGCCGAAGTGATGGTTAATTTGCATATTACTCTTTTATTAGATAGGACAGTATCTTTCAAAGAACAGAAGTTTAAAATGTTGACCAATTCCAAATTTCCATTTGTTCTTTTGTTCAATTTGTATTGTTAGTATTATATCTAAAAAAAAAAAAAAAAAAAAAAAAAAACTTCAGGTAGTGCTTTGGCAGTCCCGGACCTGTGTCTTGCTTCACAGTGTTTGGATGGAACAGACCCAGGGACGCCCCTTCTTCCAGCCTCTGGCCACTCTCCTGCATCTTATCCAGCCATCACCTTCGGAACCACCTCCGGGACCAGCCAACACACCAGCTTTTCCACCTAACTCCTTATTGCTGAACAACCATGAGCTCCCAAACTCGTCAGAATTCTTCCACCCAGGTGGAGGCTGCGGTCAACCGCCTGGCCAGCCTATATCTGTGGGCCTCCTACCTACTTCTCTCTGGGCTATTTCGACAGTTACGCTGTGGCTCTGGAGGGTGTGAGCCATTTCTTACACGAGTTGGCAGAGAAGAAGCACGAGGGTGCTGAGCATCTCTTAAAGTTGCAAAACAAGCGTGGCAGCCGCGTTCTCTTCCAGGACTTACAGAAACCTTCCTAAGATAACTGGGACAAAATTCAGGACACCATGGAAGCAGCCCTGGCCTTGAGGAGGAACCTGAACCAAGCCCTTTTGGAGCTGCAGGCTCTGGGTTCTACCTGTGCAGACCATCATCTCTGCAACTTCCTGGAGGACCACTTCCTGGATGAGGAGGTGAAACTCATCAAGAAGATGGGCAACCACCTGACTAACATCCACAGGCTGGCTAACCCCCAGGCTGGGCTGGGTGCCTATCTCTTAGAAAGGCTCACCCTCAAGCACAACTAGGAGCCTTTGGAGCCCAGAGGCCTTTCAGAGGCCCCTCTGCATCCCCCTGGTGTCTCTGGCTTTTACCTGAGCCTCTTCCCGAAACTACTAGCCATTCTTTTAACCACCATGGAGCCCTCCCCATGCATTGGACCAAATGAAACTCAAAGTTTTTTACAGAAAAAAAAAAACCAAAAACTTTACCTACATCAAAGATCAGAAAAGTTCTCCCATGTTATCTTCTACAAGAGTAATATTTTCAGGTTTTACATTTATGTCTATAATCCAGTTTTTGTTAATTTTTAGATAAAGTACAAGGCATAGATCAAAGTTGTCTTTCTGTGTTTTCTTTTCTTTTTTTCTTTTTTTTTTAACATATGGATATCCAATTTCCTACCACTGTTTGTTGAAAAGACTAGATAGTAGTGGTTGGGTTTTTTTTTGTAACCTGCCTGGAATAAATCTTTAAAATCTGTCTCCCCATCATATGCAGAGAAAGCAGTCTTAGTAGTCTTCTCCCATGGTTGTTTTCAATTTTAAGCTTGGCTTCTTAGGAGCCACCCTATATCTACAAAGCTTAGTATTTAGGCAAAGATTGGTCAGAAGTTGTCATCAAATACCTTAAGCCAATAAGACTTACACTCTCTGCTGACAGATCTATGTGGGCTAGGAAATAAATTAAAAGTTCAGGCAGTTTTTAAGTTTACCCCACATTCACTCGTCAAGGTTCCTCTGTGTCTCTGCTGCATGATGTGCAGATTCTGCCAGTCAGGGCCGTGTGGCTGGCTGGAGCCTATTTAGTCTGCTGTGTATGTGCACAGGATATGTGCGGATCTCATCACAGCCCTTATGGCTGTATCATCTCTCAGAATCCCTTTTAAACTGTTAGCCTGCCAGTTCATTCTTGCCTGAAACAGAACCACAATCTGGGACTAATGGAGCCACTTGCCCTCCTTAGTTACTTACCACTCAGATCACCACTTTAACTGACAATGCCCCAAATCAAGACCTCTGGCACCAGCAGCAACACAACTGCTGGTTTTCCCAATCTTCCCTTCCCGATTGAACTATGTCATTAACAGAGACAGGGATGGGAGCAGCCTAAGGAAGTCCACTGTACATATGAGTGCACTATACAGTTCATATGTGTAGTGTGCCTTCAATAGTTTTTTTGAATGTATGCTTCTAGTTTATCATATGTCTGTGGTCTATTTTTAGAATAAAGAAATGGTGCTTTTGACAGTTTTGTCCAGCTTTATGGTTGCTTTTTGGGGACAGGTTTGTTGACTTCCTCATTCCATCATAATTGAAGTGTAACTTCTGTTCCTTTATTTTAATAATTTTTATTTCAATCTTGCTACTTGCTTTTAATGCCCATACTTATCATAGACATGAAAGTTCTTTGAAATGTTATAAGTAAATATAAGTAGAAAATATTTTAATTAGTCTTACTAAACGCCTCTACCGTTTCTAGGTGCACAGCTTACTAGACCTGTAAATGGAAGAAGTCAAAGGGACTAAGAAGAAATCTAACCAAATATAGAGTTAACCAACCTGTGTGTAGTGGATAGTGAAGATGGCATGGGATCTGCTGCTGGCCTCATGAACATGGGTAGCTGCTGTGATTCTACGTATACAAGGCAAGACAATTAGGACGAGGATTGTTTATGCCTAATGAGTCCTTGAGGATCCATGGGGAACACAAGGAATGCCAGTGTTAGGCTTAGAAATGAGAATCATAAAACATCCATATTTAGTCCAGTATACTTAGGAGATGGTCCAATGAGGGCAGAAGCAGTCTTCTATGAACTGATATCAGAGAATAAAAGGGAATGTATTTTCATGCTTAACTACAATAGAACTTTATTTTTAAGCAACAGAAATAAAAAATCACAATTGAAAAGGGGATATTAAAGAGTAGTATTGGAAGAATATCCCAAGACAGAACCATGAAATAAAGACAAAGGGAGTAAAGAACTTGCTGGAGAAGAAATCTCAAAGACAGAGAATGTTGTAATTAAACATGTAATATTAATCTTATAGTGCCAGAAAGACCTTTAAAATTAGATCTTGAATTATAGTGCACAAAGACAAATACTGCTTAAGCTAGATAAAATTCAGTCTTCCTCATAACTTTATTCCAACGTTAAGTCAGGAGAGTCTTCCCTTTGCCTAAATCTAAGTCAATCATTCTTCAATTTAAGACCATCTCATTATTAGTGAGAAGAGCACAAAATCTTAAGTCATTGCACCTTACCCTGCATACATTACTGTTGTGAGAAAGGCCTCCTGAATAGGAGTCGAGGAGCTGCAGAGATAAATATCATCATACATGCCAAAGGGGGATGAGAACACGGGACTGAAGAATGAGGCTCAAAGAATGATAGAAACAAACAAATGTGTTACCTGTTTGCTATTCCCTCCTCCAAGAGTTGAATTACTTGCTTATAGTTGGTAACTACATGTTGAGATAAACCTATCAGATTTGTGAAGGAGAAAAAAAATAACATTTTTGGTAAAGTTTAACCTTTCCTTATAATTCTTTACCTTTATAATTTCTACTTTATATTATTTAATAGACTTGAGAGAACTTTCTAAATCATTCAAATAATAAATTAACTCAAATATTTATTGGAAGCCTACTGTTAAACATTGTGATAGACTCTGGAAACATCTGTCTCTGCCCTCACAGAGACTATAATATAAGACTAATTCATGTAGCAACAACAACAACCCTTACAATGAAATCCCTTACAGTTCAACTATGTAGGTTATAAAAAAATTTTTATATAATACTTCATTGGTCTTCATTAAATTCCTGAAGTATACAGATACTATCTCTCCACAATATGACAGACTCAGTTTGATATACAGTAGATATGTCCCTATCTTCCCACAGTTTACGGTCATGAGCAGTTTATACTATACATGACAATCTGGCCAAGTGCCACGGGAGTAGGATAATCAATGCTCAGGAGATCAGAGAAGTGGTCAGGGAGGGCTCCATGGAGGAAGTAAGACTTGAATTTGGCCACTGCAGAATGGGGAAGACTTAGATAAGTGGAAAGTTGCTTGAGGACATGAAAGTAAATTTTTATGACTGGTTACTTAGCAAATAAAAAAGGGCCATCATAACTGTGCTAGTGAATCTCTATATTAGAGATTCAAGAGCAAAGTAACTACACAGGCTCACTGCTAAATACAGTTACACTAAATGTTAGCACACTATTTTGAAAACTGACATTTTATAGTAAAGAACTGTTGTTATTATTTAGATGTAATACTAGTTTTGTGGTGATGTTTCCTTAAAGAAAATATTCCTAGAGAGAATAAATGGTGATGGAAAAAAAAAAAAAAAGGAAGAAAACCTTCCTATATTAACTCAAAGATATATCTGCACCTCCATGTTCATAGCAGCATTATTCACAATAAGCCAAGACATGGAAACAACCAGTGTCCATCAAAATGAATGAATGGATAAATTAAGTTGCAAGATATAGATATAGATATAGATTCATAGATATAGATATATAGATATTTAGATATATAGATATATGATGTATACATATATACTATATACATAAACACACATATATATACAGAATAAAATATTATTCAGCCATTAAAAAACAACAGGGGTGGCCCTTGAGGGCACTATGCTAACTGAAGTAAGTCAGACAAAGAAAGACAAATACTGTACTGTATGAACTCACTTATATGTAAATTCTTAAAAAAAAACCACCAAGCTCATAGAAAGAGATCAGATGTGTGGTTACCAGAGGTGGGGGAGAGGAGAGAGAGAAATAAAGGAAGGTAGACAAAAGGTACAAACTTCTAGTTATAATTAAGTACTAGGGAAGTAATAATAAACAACATGATGACTTACAGCTAACATTATTATGATATATAGGTTGTCCCCAAAAATGTATACACACACTTTGGATAATTATAAAGGCAAGTTTTATTACAATATATTTCATTTTCAAAACTGAGTTACCAGCTGTTCAAGTGTGCATACATTTTGGGGGGGTACCCTGTATATGAAATTATTATTATTTTTTTAAATATATTTTATTGATTTTTTACAGAGAGGAAGAGAGAGGGATAGAGAGTTAGAAATATCAATGAGAGAGAATCATTGATCAGTCGGCTCCTGCACACCCCCTGCTGGGGATGTGCCCGCAACCAAGATACATGCCTTTGACCGGAATCGAACCTGGGACCTTCAGTCCACAGGCCAACGCTCTATCCACTGAGCCAAACTGGTTTTGGCTGTATATGAAATTATTAAGTGAGTAACTCCTAACAGTGCTCATCACAAGGAGAAGTTTTTTTCTTTTTATTATATGTATATGAGATGATGGATGTTAACTTTTTTTGGTAATCATTTCACAATACATATATGTCAAACCATTATGCTGTAAACCTTAAATTTATATAGTAATGTATATCAATTGTATCTCAATAAAAATGGGGAAAAAGAAGGTCCTGAAACAAATAAACAAAAGAGTTGGATGGAATATAAAAGACATCAGCTTAAAGGTGGGGAGGGATAAGCAGATAATAAAACGTTTACAGACTGCCGAAACCTGTTTGGCTCAGTGGATAGAGCGTCAGCTTGCGGACTGAAAGGTCCTGGGTTCAATTGTGGTCAAGGGCATGTACCTTGGTTGCGGGCACTCCCCAGGAGGGGGTGTGCAAGAGGCAGCTGATCAATAATTCTCTCTCATGGATGTTTCTAACTCTCTATCCCTCTCTCTTCCTCTCTGTAAAAATCAATAAAATATATATATTTTAAAAAGTTTACAGGCCATATACATGGGAAAGATGGAAGCTCAGTAAGATAAGGCCAGTGTCTGGGACAAAGGAAACTCCAACTGGCTCCCAACAAAGACAGCGGTATTTTTTGCTGTTTTCAGGCTGTCCTTTATGATGGAAAGTTTGGGAAAGATACAGGTAGCAGCATCATGACTGGCACACCTGCTGAGTCATCCACCTGCCAAGCCTTGTTCAGAGAGAGGCCAGCTCTTGATCTTTCATGTCCCTCACCTTGTCAGGACTTAAATGAGTATACTGCTGAGGGAAGAAGAGCATAACATATACATGCTACGTCTTATGAGTGGCCTGAAAGGGTAAAAATTTCTATGGAAGAACCCAACTGTTCCTTCTTAATAGTAAGAGTGAGCCTAATGGAATAAGACTGATGGTAGCAAACACCAAATATCATGCGTGATGAGGAAGCAGCTCAGATATCTCCCCATCTTCCTACCACCACTAATGGAACAGAAAGTACCCTGAAAAGAAGACTAACTGCCCTAGGAACCAGCCGTGGCCCTGCTAGTTCTGACACCACAGACCTCACCTGTTCCCACACCACTTATCCACATCACTACATCCATTTATTTGTTCATTAGCCTTTATCACAACTTGTAATTAAGTGCTTGTTTTCTGATTCATGCCCACAAAATTGTAAGTTTGCCTATGAGGACAGGACTTTCTATTTATCGGTACATACCCAGCATCTAGTTCAATTGATCACAGTAAGTAATCATTATGCAACTGCTGACTGAATTAATGACCATTAGGAGGGTTGCCCTCACTCTGGTTTGGTCTCAGACCTCCAGGATCACAGTGGCTCACCTTGTACATAGGGCCCCATCTCTGGGTGCTCCCTGACCCTCAGGGTATAGGATTTTTTTTGATCAGGTGGCTTCAGCAGATCCCTCACACGTTCGTTATAGATTTCCAGGAAACTAGAGACATGAAGAAAAAGGCATGTAGTTAGATTTTGAAAGATGGTAACATGTTTTCAAAATTAAACTTTGAGGCCCTGGCAGGGTAACTCAGTTGGTTATAACCAATACACCAAGATTGCGGGTTCAATCCTCGGTCAGAGCACATACAAGAACCAACCAATGAATGCATAAATAAGTGGAATAACGAATAGATTCTCTCTCTGTCTCATCAGTAAATAAAAAAAAAAAAAAGTTTAATTAGATTTTGGAGAAAAGCAACATGATTAGATTTTCAAATAAATGGGGGGGAAAACACCAAACCAACAATCAGAAGGTCCTAGATCTTGTTCTAGTTCCATCTCTGGCCCTCTAAGACCTTGATCACACCAGGTTCCCCCTTGAGCCTCTTTCTACATGTGTACAACAGGGTTGTCAGCATTTGAGAGCAACATCTCAGTTTCAGTTTAGCATATTTTAGCATAATGTCAGTGCTGATTCAAGTTTCACCTTCAAGAGCCTATTTCAGCATGGTTTTAGGGTATGCTGCCACCTGCCTGCCCCTTGCTCAGGCCGCCACAGCACAGAGTCTACGAGCTTGTTTGATGAAGTGGTTTTTAAATGTGATCTTTGAGCTCTCTTATTCCATGAAGGCATCTCAAGGGCCACTGCTGAGCAATGAAGGAAGCTTGTGATAAGGGTTTGGTCCCTACTCCTAACTGAAGTAGGACAATTCTTATTTTATCTGTTTTATATATGGACATTCTGTCTAAGATATACTCTATCTTATAGGAATCTACTGTCATGCTACTCCTTTTAAAAATAGTAACAGTTATAACTAATTATTAAAATAAGTAAAGATTTTGATACATAAGAAAGCACACTTCCACAGAAAGGCTTTACTTACCAGATGCTTGCCTAGACCCCATGCACATTCTCCTGATCAATTATTCTCCTTAACTTTCTCATATTTAGACACAAGAACCCTAAATGTCTCTTAGAATAGTGGTTCCCAGACTTCATGGACAATAAGACTTTTAATATACATATATATATGTTTATACACATACACACAAGCACACAGGCTTGCAAAATCTTTACAAACTTAAAAAGGTAAAAATAATGGTCACAATTAATTTAATTTTAAAAAATGAACATTTTCTCTTTTGAAAGTGATAAAAATGTTCTGGAATAGACCGTGATGATGGCTGGACAACCTTGCAAATATCAGAAAAAGTCACTAAACTGTATATTTTAAAAGCATGAATTTCATGGTTTACAAATTACATCTCAACTAGAGACCCAATGCACGAATTCGTGCATGGGTGGGGTCTGGCCAGCCCACACTAATCAGGGTCGATCAGGCCTGGATTAGCAGGGATGAAGGGAAGCCCCAGGCGGTTGGTGGGCCAGTCCCGCCTCCTGTTCGAACTCTCGGTAGAGGAGACAATTTGCATATTACTCTTTTATTATATAGGATTAAAACGAATTGAACACACACACACACACACACACACACACACACACACAAAATACAGAGAATTAAGGGCAATTGGTCAACATTTTCTCTCCAGACTGGTTAAAACTTCATCTTGGAGTAGCCAGCACCAGTCGGTCTGGGAACAAGAGAGTGGGAATGACTGACTGGGAGAACACCACAGTGGAGGCTGGAGGAGAAAGTCTAAAAGCTAGTATGAGCCCTAACCGGTTTTGCTCTGTGGACAGAGCATCAGCCTGCAGACTGAAGTGTCCCAGGTTCAATTCTGGTCAAGAGCATGTTTGCATGTGCAAGAGGCAGCTGATCGATATTTCCCTCTCATTGATGTTCCTAACTCTCTATCCCTCTCCCTCCCTCTGTAAAAAAATCAATAAAATACATTTAAAAAAAAAAAAAAAAAAAAAAAAAAAAAAAAAAAAGCTAGTATGAAACCGGACAGAGAATGAAGGAAAGGAAACCAGTCAGGGCAAACTGGTACAAAGAAGACACCTGCTTGTTAAGCCTGAGGAAAGGAATTAAGTTTTCTACAACCCAAAGACCTAAGTACATTTCTAATCTCCCTATATTGCAAGGTATTTCTGCTCTGGCTTTCCTCCATTCTTCTGGAAGACTCTGGAAGCAAGGAGAACAGAATAGACCAGAATTTGGAGTGGAAATAGAACGTTAGGCCCCAGAGCCTGGTAGGTTCTTACCTTACTTTGATCCTACAGGAGGAAGGCGGCGGGGCACATTCTTCCTCCCTGACGAAGAGACCCTGCATGAACCAGAGGGTAGGAATTTTACTGGAGTGTGCAAAGGAGACCTACTTTGAGAGAATCCAGTCAAAAGGGAATCTATACCTCACATATCCGCGGCGTCAGCCCGACAGAGGCCTGGAGAACAGAAGGAAGGAAAGCATTACTGTTCACTCTCGTTGATGATCCTCGCCCAATGCCCAGGAGCTGTCAGCAGGAGGACGGGCACATGGCTCCTTGTGCCGGCCTGTTCACTCCAAGGAGTTCACGGGAACTGTGGCAAAGACTCTATTCGCAGTGCTCTCAGGAGGAATGCACCAGAGGATAAGCAGATCACCAGCACAAGGAGGAATAATGCCTGCTTTTGTGAAATGAAGTTTCATCCTTCTTGGATCAACCTACTTTCTCATGGTGTTTCCTCCCAGAACTTACCTCCTGTTTCTACACATAGAGAAAACAGATTCAGGTGTGTTCAAAACACACATTTAGAGAGAAGTGACTTTTCTTTTAATCTTGGACCCAGTGCTAACCTGTACTCAAGTTAAAGGCTTTATACCCCATATTTAATGGGCACTTTCTTCTTTTAACTTCAAATATACAAAATCACAATAAACATGAACATAGTGAGCATGAGCTGGGCCCAAAGCAGCAAGAATCATCTTTCAGGAGGAGTAGTGTTCCAGAGAATGTTCCGGGATAGTACGGTCATTGCTCCACCAGTTCACCTCAGCAGCGGACTTCTAAGTCTAAAATAAAGAGGTATTCTTAGGGAACTCTTCCTTCTAATTTTCCATGATAAAAGAAGGCTCTCATAAATCCTATATACTTTAGAAAGCTCCCATCCCAGTAGTATGTTCTCTTGCTTCTTTCTAACACTCAGGTTAAGCACACATAGCCTCATTTCTTCTCAGTCCTAGCCAGCACTTTAAGACTCAGGCTGGGTTGCTGAGACCAGTTTGGCTCAGTGGATAGAGCGTCGGCCGGAGGACTGAAAGGTCCCGGGTTCAATTCCGGTCAAGGGCATGTACCTTGGTTGCGGGCACATCCCCAGTGGGGGGTGTTCAAGAAGCAGCTGATCGATGATTCTCTCTCATCGATATTTCTAACTCTCTATCCCTTTCTCTTCCTCACTTTAAAAAATCAATAAAAAAAAAAAATTTTTTTTAAAGACTCAGGCTGGGTCTTATCAAGGATATGAGAAATTCAGAAGGACTGACAAGGTCTGCTTCATCAAAGAGAGTTGTAAAATTCTAAGTTCTTCAGGGTTTAATAAACAGAGCGGCCGAAACCGGTTTGGAGCTGCCGAAACCGGTTTGGCTCAGTGGTAGAGCGTCGGTCTGCAGACTGAAAGGTCCCAGGTTCGATTCCGGTCAAGGGCATGTACGTTGGTTGCAGGCACATCCCCAGTATGGGGTGTGCAAGAGGCAACTGGTCGATGTTTCTCTCTCATCGACGTTTCTGGCGCTCTATCTCTCTCCCTTCCTCTCTGTGAAAAATCAATAAAATATATTTTAAAAAATAAATAAATAAATAAATAAATAAACAGAGCTAATTATTCAAAGTTTACCCTTCAATTAAAGTGTTGAGAAACCTACTGGCTAATACAAAAGAGGGCCCATTAAGTCTTGTTCAAGTTGACTGATTATGAAACTTACATTCTCTCTCTCAGTGGTTAGGGCAATTCAAGATTCAGGCTTGCTGTGCCATTAGGAAGATATCTCATCCCAATAGCAATACTCACTGGGGTCCCCAGCATGGTGTATGTCTTCCCAGAGCCTGTCTGTCCATAGGCAAAAAGGCAGATGTTATAGCCTTTGGCAGCTCCATTCAGTACTTCAGTCCCCAAATCCTGGAACACCTGTAAAAACACGAGTAAAAAGCATGTCACTGTGGTCCTTTTCTTATAGCAGTCTTAGAATTATTTTTTAATCTAAAAATTTTGCAATATATTTTAAGCCTGCATGACTATACATTCTCCACCATTTCACAAGAATCAATTCAGTTTCAGAAAAAAACTACTAAGGAAAATTCATTCATCCAAATACTTTTAAAAGTGCTTACTGTATGCTGGACACAATGCTAGATGATGAAGTTACAAAATAGATATGGGCCTTAGCCAGTTTTGCTCAATGGATAGAGCGTCAGCCTGCGGACAAAAGGGTTCCGGGTTCGATTCTAGTCAAGTGCATGTGCCTTGTTTTGCAGGTTCCTCCCCAGCATCATGCAAGAGGCAACCAGTTGATAGATTTCTCTGATATCAATATTTCTGTCTGTCTTTCCCTCTCTCTTCCACTCTCTCTAAAAACCAATGAAAAATATCCTCCGGTGATGATAAAAAGTAAGATATATATGGTCCCTAATCTTAAGGCAAAGACATGCAAGCAAATCACTGAAGAAAGACCATGAGCATTAATTCTTTTTTCTTCCCATGGTAGAAAATGTTTCATACAGTCAGTCAGGAGAGCTACCGTGAGTATTTCCTAGAATGTATACAAATTCAGAGTCTCAGGACATCACAGTTAAGACCAGAGAATCAGTTAAGACCAGAAATTAGAGTTTTCTCTTTGGATCTCTTTTCTACATGCTCCCTCCTTAGATTGATCCTAACAGCTGGCTGGTTCTGCTGGTTACTCATCTCTGTGGTGGTCAGTTTTAGTGAATCAGAAACAGCTAGAGGTCCTCATGTGAAAGCCCATACACAGCATTTTGTGTTTCAGTGCCTGAAAGTCCGGTTGCACTCTGTTAGGCAGATCCTGATCTCAGGAAAAATAGCCTGGTTTGCAGGAAAGACACGGCTTCCCGGGTCCACCAGTCCTCAGCAGGGGGCCGCGTGGAGATCTGCACCCGGTGACTGTACAGTGGACATCGACCCTTTGTATTATTGCTGCTCAGCACCCCAATACTCTTCCTATTTGGGGGAGTCTCTGACTGTGTCAGCCTTGGTGGGAAGCAGGACCCAACCCTCCACGACAGAATCAAACAGGCTAGAGACTCCTTTCTGCCTCCTGGCAGCCAGAACTCCAGCATGCGAAATAAGGCCAGCCAACTGGATGTTCCAACTTGGAATTTGAGAGAATGACACTAAAACAGAGGAATTGTGAGTATATTCTCCATGGTGGAATCAAGAGCCCAATAGCACTGCATCTTGAACAAACAGGGGTACAAATGGCAAGTGTGGTGACCAAATCAGACCAGTCTGTGATATGGCTTTGCCTGCCTTCTCCACTGCCTGGGATCCCATGACTTCCTACCCATTTTTCAACTTTCCCTTTAATTCTGTGAATGGCCAGATATGTCTCAAATTGGAATGTGGCCCTCATGGTCCATGGCTGTGTGATCCTGAGCAAGTTATTTAAAGTTTGCAAGTTTCAGTTTCGTTAGCTGAAAAGTAGATATTTTATATCTCTATCACAGGTTTGTTATGAAGATTGAGTGAGATAATACACATAACTAGGGGCAACAGGACAGACAGAAATTGCTGACGCAAGACTACACTGCCCTATTCTATGTTGTAGCAGCTGCAGTTAGGCTTCTGGCCAGTGAGCTATTTGTTTTGTTTCTAATATTCAGATGCAGGCCAGAAGAACCCAGGAAGTAGTGAAATACTGAGGTCTTGCACCATTCCCACCCCTCCCCAGTCTTTCTCCCAGCTCTGTGCTTCTCCCTCTCCAGTCACCCACTCCTATATTAGCAAAACTAAGAATCTGGCAGGCTTCCCTTTGACTCCTGACATCTGCCTGGGTTAAATTCCCAGGGATTGAAGGAGGGGTCGTTGCTCTTCACCAGACCATTTGAGTTGGCTGCCATCCATTTACTAGCTGGAAGATGTTTCATAAAACTCAACCTTCCTTTCTAGTGCCCCAGCAGTAAGTGGGAACAGAGGAACAGACAGAGCCAAGCCCACAGCTATTGCAAATGCTCTTTCTTCCCACTGCTCACACACTCAACAGACTGAGCGCAGTGGGTTGTGAAGAAAACAACAAAATAAGGGCACAAAGAGGGGGAAGGGGGTTTGGAAGGGAATATATGTAATACTTTCAATAATAAAGATTTAATTTAAAAAAGAAAACAACAAAATGTTACTGTGTCCATGCCTTTACCCAAATTCAAATGATTGCGTGGAGGCTCTACTAAAAAAAATTTTTAAAAATCTCTGAAGTTACCATTTTTACTCAACAGTAAAAGATATCAACAGGAAAAGCCATTAGACTCCAAACTTAGAATTGGTGGAAACTGTTAAGATATAGCTACCCTTCTTCAAGAACTGGGATGCGAGCTCAGCATAAGTTCCAGGAAAAAGCACAGGCATAGACAGAGTACAGCAGGGCCAGATGACACCATGGTCTACTTTCACCATGGTAATATAATCAAGTCCCGATACAACAGCATCCAGTGGGTTGTCCCCTATCTAGTTAGTGCTTAAAAAGGCTGGAAGTACTCTATTACATATAGTTAATATGTCTATTTAACACTTCTATCTACTGATACTCCAGAGAAGAAAGTCACACTGCCCCTCTCTCCCCCTGAACTGGATAGTCTAGCTTTAGCTTACCTATTGGTGACTTATTTTAGCTTTCAAACTGTTAATATTCACACTGAGCTGTTTCCATTGCTTTATTATGTTACCATGAGAGTAGACCATGGTGTCATCTGGCATCTGAGTCCCAGGCTTCCCTCGCAACTCTGGCTTCGTCCGGAAGGACATCCGGTCTAATTAGCATATTACACTTTTACCCTGTTTCCCCGAAAATAAGACAGTGTCTTATATTAATTTTTTCTCCCAAAGTTGCGCTAGGTCTTATTTTCGGAGGATGTCTTATTTTCGGGGGAACATGGTATTATCATACTAGAGGCTTGGTGCACAAAATTTGTGCACGTGGTGGGGGGTGTCCCTCAGCCCAGCCTGCACCCTCTCCAATCTGGGACCCAGTGGGATCAGGTCTAAACGGACAGTCGGACATCCCTCTCACAATCCAGGACTGCTGGCTCCCAACTGCTCACCTGCCTGCCTTCCTGATTGCCCCTAACTGCTTCTGCCTGCAAGCCTGATCACCCCCAACCACTCCCATGCCAGCCTGATTGATGTCTAACTGCACCCCTGCCAGCCTGTTTGCCCCCTACTTCCCTCCTCTACCGGCCTGGTCACCCCTAACTGCTCTTCCCTGCAGGGCTGATCACCTTCAACTGCCCTCCCTTGCAGACCTGGTGCCTCCCAACTGCCCTCCCCGGCTGGCCATCTTGTGGTGGCCATCTTGTGTCCACATAGGGGCAGGATCTTTGACCATCTTGTGTGTTGGTGTGACAGTCAATTTGCACATTACTCTTTTATTAGATAGGATAGAGGCCTGATGCATGGGTAGGGGCCAGCTGGTTTGCCCTGAAAGGTGTCCTGGATCAGGGTGGGGGTTTCTTAGGGCCTGTGGTGCTTTGCAGGCCAGCCATACACCCCAGCTACCCAAGCAGAGGCCCTGGTATCTAGGACATAGTTCCTTTATTAGCATTCTCTAATTCTCACAGGAAAATACTGAAGTCTCACAGGTGGTAAGTACTTCCAAACAAAGCTCTTGCTCTTAACCACTGATATTTTGCTGCTAGCAAAATAATTGTTCACAGAGTTATCAGGAAAGGCAAATCTTATCCATTGAACATTAAGCAATTACTCTACAATTTAAAATTGTTTTTCAAGGTTTCCTTACTTCCTGTTGATTTGCTTTATAATGGGAGAAACTTCACCAGGTCTCCTTTTCAGTGTTTCTGAATAGCAGTTTCAGTAATATTTTGTTATGGCCTTCAGCCAAAAGTAATAAAATCTGATCCTACTAACATTTGTTATTTGTTAATCACTTTTGGAGTTTTTGCTCCAGTTAATCTTTTTATTTGCATGTGAAGAGAATTATAACCCCATCCCCAAATTTACCCACACTGCTATTATTTTTTTACCTTTTTTTTTTTTAATTAAATTATTATCTGTGTACACACTGCCATTATTAAATGACCAGAATTTAAAGCCTTGTTAGAGACATACACCATTATATTTTCTTTTCTTTGCCATTTTTCAAATTATAAAGAATACTCACTTTTTGCATCAGTGAAAAAATAAAGCACGAAAAGAAAGCTAACTTTCCATCCATTACCTCACCCCTAATGCCACTCACCGAACTGACCCAAAAGTACCCTTCAGGTACCAAAGTAAGGAAATAAATACCCACATTTAAATCCTTCCATATCTTTCTCTATATATACAAGGATATGTAGTTCTTTGCTTTTGTTTGTTTTCACTGAAATAGACATCAACCTACAAATTGCTTTTCATCACATAATATACCATGGAACATACAGATTACTTGCCAGAGATATAACTCTTCCCTTTTACATGCAAACACACAGCCAGTTACACAAACATAATTTAAAATAGTTTTATGTTTACAGAAAAATTGAACAGAACAGAAAGCACAGAGTTCCCACATATCCTCTCAGTCACCTCTCCCCTTTTCAGTTTTCCCTATTATCACACCTTGCATGTTATGGTACATTTGTTACAATTCATGAGCCACTATTGATGTCCATAGTTCACATTAGGGTTCATTATTTGTGCTGTACTATGAATTTTAACAAATGCATTATGACATTTATCCACCATTATAGTATCATACAGAATAATTTCATTGCCTGAAAAATCCCCTGTACTCCACCTAGTTATCCCTCCCTCCCTCCTGCCTCTGGCAACCACTAATCTTTTTATTGTCTCCACAGTTTTGCCTTTTCCAGAGTGCCATATAGTTGGAATCACAGTGTAGTAGTCTTTTCAGATTGGCTTCTTTCACTTGGTAACATGCATTTACTAGTAAGATTCCTCCA